AAGACAACCACGTGAATGTCTGTGGTTTGAACATTTCAAAGTGAACTGCTTGCTCAGTTCTTAAATGGAGTTAAAGGAAACACATGAATGTACTCAGAACTGGGCTACTCCTAGGTCTCTGTATGTTATAGAGCCATTTAGACATGATGGTACTTAAAACAGGCCTACATTTCAAAAACAACACATCCTGACAAATATGGCAAGAATTTTCGTATAATTTATTAACCTATAGAACTGTGTACACAGAATGATCACCTGTATTCCTTCAGAGTTCGTCTAGTGAAGACATAGGTAGGTAGCCGTTTCGCCAATAAATTGTCCTCAGCATTGCGTCCATGATCTGCATTAGTTGAAACGAAACTCGTGCCTTTACTACACCTGATCTTCTCTCTATGACAATGCTGGGCCTCAAGAGCCTCAAGTCTGTCACAGACTTGGAAGTAACGATTTATGTAGTCATTATTGTGCTCAAACACCACATTTAAGTTATATAAAAGACGTTTTATTAATTTGTCTTTAGATGCCACCGTTTTCTCAGCTTTGGCGAGCTTCTTGATCAGGCCCTGCATCTCCTCTTTGTAGACACGCAGCTCACAATCCTTAAGTGCTATTTCGTTTTCTGCCTCTTCAAGTAGTTTAATTCTCGATTTCTCGTTGTTGAGAACAGCATGTGTTCTTAACAGGGGGTCTTCCAATTCGGCAACTCTTGACTGCAAAACCTCTATTTCATTTTCATTGACTTCCAGTCTCATAGAAAGATATTGCAATTGCTTTCTGCTTCTTTCGTCCTCAGACATCATGGTCCTTATTGTTTGTACCTGCAGCTCTGCCTGTTCTTCTAGAGCTGCAACACATATCAACTGTGAATCCTTATAATTGAGCATATAATTCTTTGCTCTTAGTAATTCGTGTAAATGTTCAACTTCTGTCTCGAGTCTTGCCTGTAAGTACATTACAACCAATCATAAAAGAACATAAATGAACATTTAATTTGAAACAAAATCACACATTCGAAAGCATAACCAATAATTGCAGCAGCCGTGCATCAGGCAATAAGCACAAAGTACTACTTATAGTGAAAGAAATCAGTTAAAAAAGATATGGATTATATGCGTTAAGTCCACTACAGAAACATTTCGAAGAAACTGTTTGCCACATAAACGTCATGAAACAGGCCACCCACCTAACCAAGGAATTGTATTAAGTGTATTCACCCATTCAAAGGCGGTCTCCTATTTACTTACCCGATCTGTCAGTAATTGCTTCCTGCTCTCCACCTTTATACGATGGTTCAGAAAACGCAAATTCTTAGGGTTCACTTTTTTAACAAGCAAATTCTTAAGGTTAACTTCTTTAACACGCTTTTCAATGGACAAAAACATCCCTCTTATTATTGTCATGTTTGTAGAATAACAGTCACTATGGTTACTACAGAAACGGAAAGCACTTTGTTTGGAACAATAGCGGAATGCAACAATGCTGTGTTCTATTGTTGATAGACTCGCCATTGTTATTTATTAGGTTGCCATAACACACTGTGTTCCACTTTACCCTTCGTAAATGGAATTAAATTTTAAATATCCGAGACCCTAAACGTTTAGTTTAACATTCGCGCATTATATGGACAAACAAATGAAGTCCTTACTGCACTGCTACCAACTCCCTTTATACTGTAAAACGTATCATCTGGGTTCTTCGTCATGTAGACTTGCATAATTTGACATACCTTTCAAGGTACTTACTGCCTCCATTATCAGGGAACATGACTTATCGCCATCCTAAGAATCTGAAATCTTATCTGTAACACGTTTAACTGGTAGCTTGTAGATGGGATATTCCAAAATTATATGGATTTTTATGTTCTCACATCATAACTCCAGAACCGTTGGGCTGATTTCGACAATATTTTGTTTTACATGTTCTTTGTTCGTCAGGACAGTCTGTTGTACGCTCTTTACTAGACAGCGCTAGAATTCAACGAAGGGGACAATTAAACTTTCATATTGCATGCACAATTCTAAACATGTTATGCATTATGCTCTGTTCTGTATTTGGGGGCTTGTGAGTAATCAGTTAGGATCAAATGGCTCTACAGGCTTATAGTCTCAGAAAGAATTCCGAATCTAACGCGTGACGTAAATAATGTGTTTTATCGCATGCTGTTTTGTTATTATAATCACAAACTTTAAGTTGATGTCTATTTAAGAGATGACAATCTTCCATGTGAATACATATACTCATTAATGAACTTTGCTGTAAATAACAAAGAACATTGTCAAACTAATGCTGCTGCAGACAATGCCAACACAAGGCATAAGAATCAGTAATATTTCGGGATCACATGTTGGCAATATTTGTGCACATAAGTCTAAGTTCTTCACAGAAATATTTGCTGTCACCTCATTTAGATTCCAACACCTAACCTAAATATTAATCTCTGTACTGCTCGGCGCCAAATTTCGATATGACTGCTGCCAGATATATGTGAAATGTTGGAGGTTAAATATTTTGGAAGTTTTCTAAAGGAACATAATAAACATCAATGTATCGTGACATTCAGGTTTGATTACTTACGATTTGTATTCCACATGAGTACGTTGACCTCTCTAAATGTCTTAATAATATAATAAATATTACAAGTACAATTCATACTGTTATAAAAAGGGGTTCACATAACTGGTGATTTGTAGTTGACAAATTATTTCACACTTTTTCCATAGAATTGGAGTAAATGAATACTCAAGACTGTCTTCTAGAATAATCCAGAATAGGTTATCTCATTGGCCGAGAGTTCAGTCGATTAAACACCCTATTGTATTTCATGGCTTTTGCTGCCTCAAGCACAGATTTAAATACTACATCTAGATATAAATGAGGCTATAATTTTAGTTTCTTCCCATTTTTAAATGAACATTGCTTGAACTGACAGCCCATTTGGGAAAGGTAAAATTGCTGTATCAGCTGAAATAATACTTGATTTTGTAGATATTTAATGGAGTGAATATATAAGATTACTTATTCTAATAAAGTGGTGGCTGTAGGTGGTTTATATACCTAGGTTTCATTTAATGGATCATTTTACTCAGGAGTTCTCAGCCTTTTTCTAGACCTTGCACCTCATTTGTAGTCTTCTGTTGACTTGTAGGGCATCACTGGAATGCTTTGGTAATTTATTAAAAATACTAATAAATTAGGCCTAAGTAACAGCAACCACACGCACATTTCAGTAGAAAAGGCTTTTCAATCTTTGTATCTGAATTCACTGCAGTGCCTGCTTTTTTATTTTTACATGGACTTTACACATTATTTACACACGTGCGTTTCAATATATACGAACTGAACTATGGGATTTTTTAGTGTTTTTTGGATTAATGTTTAGCTTAATTCTTAAACAGAGAAGATTTTTTACGCACAGAAGACCACATCAAGGAAGTGGGGAAATTTGCTGGGTCCAGAAATCAGATACAGATACTATATTTGATGAATTAGCTGCATTGCCTAAGCAACAAAATGGATGTGAACTTCAGAACATATCACGGTAAGGCACAGCTATCGTAATCTTAATTTTACAGTTAAGTTACTAAACTAACGAAACAAGTTGATGAAGCAGGGCCTTTTTTGAAAACATAATAGTTACGCAGCTAATCAAGAAATTCCTTATTTTGCGAGGAACCCAGAAGTTCCTTGCAAAACCCTGCCACTGGTTCCTGTCCAGAATCAAATTAATTTAGACCATAACCTCCCGCCCAATTTATTTAAAATTCATTTTAATACTATTCTTCCACGTATGACGAGGTCTTCCATTTGATATGTTTGCTTCAGATCTTTGTATATATTTTCTTGCGTCCTATGCATATTACATTTCCTACACATCACAGCCTCGTTTCAATCACCCTAAAAATATTTGGTGAGTATTACTCAAGTTAAAACAGATGAACAGGAATAGAATTAAAAATTGTCTGGGAAATAAGTTGGAACCCACAATTTATTAATATAATTAAAAGGGAAACAAATTTTAATGGTTTGGGCATGTACCAGGACTGGCTAAAACAAGGATGCTAAGAAAGGCATAACATTTAAATTCTAAAGGAAAGAGACCCATGGGATGACCAAGAAGAAGGTGGTTCAACCAGGTACTAGAAGACATGAAGGGGAGAGAGGGAAGTGTTGGAATGAAATCAAAATACAAAATTGTGAAAAGGTGGGGGGACACTAGATATCTTCTACCCATCAATCTGTGTAAAATAGAAAAGATGCTACAAGAAAAATAAGAGACATGGAAATTTTGGTGTAGTTAGAAGTACATCTACCTCTCCTGGCGAAGGCATTTAAATTCAAGTGCCCTACTTATTACATTGAACCCGTAGTTGGATGTCAGTACATTACTGAAATTGAAATATGTCTTTCTGAGCATGAATGCTATATGCTGCTATATACTGCCTCCGTCGTCAGGGTGATTCATCGCCCTGATGACGGAGGCAGTATGACCTCTGAAACGGTTAACATCGACCAGACTACACAGCGCAACAACCCAGAAGACGGAAATCTTCATACTCTGATGACGGAGGCAGTATGACCTCTGAAACGGTTAACATCGACCAGACTACACAGCGCAACAACCCAGAAGACGGAAATCTTCATACTCACCGCTGTGAAAACCTCAAATCTTACATGAATGCTATATGTTTAGTTACATGAGTGGCTCTGTTTGAAGAATAATTAATGGTTATAATATTTTCGGTGACAGGTATTGTTTACCAGTTATTGATTTGAACACCTTCAGATTTCAGGGATGAGCTGCGCTGAATGTTGAAAATTATCCAGTGTTTTGGCAGTTACCATCTTTGGGGTGAATATGTAAGTGTTGGGTGTTTTCAGAAGCCTTATATAGGGCAGGCTGTAGGTGGTGCCGATTGGTGGCACTGATCGCCAACGCTGAAGCTGCACATCGAACTCTGGTCACAAAACCCAAACACAACAGTTACTGTGTTGTTGTTGTGACAATTTTGAGTAACTACGACATTTTATGTTTAACAGGGATACAGTTTATGATATTATCACATCTGGAGAAGAGGATTTGCTTGACATTTCAAACAAGTGGAGACCCAACAGGCACGTCAAGTTTGTCATTTTTCTACACGCATGCAATGAATTAGAGACTGTTTGCTTCTTCCTTTACATTTTTGAACCTATTTGAATATTTGGACACATTTGTAAGTATATTCATTCCTGTAGTAGGAATATATCCTGTTGCGTCTGCCCATGCCCACAGCTTGAAATTGTGTTTACGACTTTGCCGTTTCTCTACCTGTGGCGTAATAGTTTGATGGTAGACGGGTGTCTGCCTACAGGCTTTTAATCAGTGTGGAGACACTTTTGTTCTGTGAAAAGGTGGACAAACAGCAAAACATGGCTAGGTTGCAGGTCAGTGACCTATCTGACTGGGAAATAACATGTAAAATGATTTTAGGTAATCTCTCGCTCTTTCACTTTTGTACATAATTTACTTGTTCTTCATTATTTATTTTAGAACATGTATAGCTGGTGAACTATGCTTGATCAGTGTTACAGGGATTGTGTCATATGGATAAGGTACTGGAATCTCATGCGTAGGATTTTGGATTCAGTACTGTCCAAATCTAATATTCACATGCCTTCCCAGGCTGTCACCCATGACAAAGTCAGAATTGCTATGTGACAGATTCATAAACGTGACTTGTGAAGTCTGAGTTTGATGCACAGAGTAGAGATCAATATTCAAATATCTTCATATAACTGTTCGTTTAACTTCTGATTGTTTACAGAAATAAAATGAAGAAGCCCGTACAAGAGCGGAATTTCGGAAACTATAAACGAGACTCTTCTGTGAACAAGGTGAATAGAAGCACATATAATGATGCGTACCAGTATTACAGTTGTTAGAAAGTTAATCATAAATTAACAAAATTAAATTGCGAGATTACTTAATCAGATTGTTTGAGTTTCAGAAGCAGCGCATAAAAGATATGAAAAAAGAAGTGTTTTACGTATTTGCGTTCTTACATCGCTCAGCGCGAGCCATTTTGTTCTTCTCCCTTGTTATCTTGTGTGTGAGGGATGTTATTATTATGATTTATTTACTGTAATTGGGTTTGCACCCGGTGGCATTCCTATTTCAAATGTTTTATATTGTTTCTGAGTTTAACATTTCCAAGCTTCAGGGACATTTGAGAAGAATTTTAATGTTCTTTGACCTGCTAACATTTTTCATTCCATAGCCTTAACAGTTGAAATGTAATAAGAAAGCTAGAGTTTCTCTCGGCTTAGTTGGTACTCTAAGGGGAATGGCATATAGCAAGTTGTAACTTGCTATATTCATCCTCTGAGTCACTGAGAATCACTGCGATTGGTTGTCATGCAATTATTTTTCTGGAAAATAGGTTAAATATGACATAATGTACCACCATGCACCAGTGTAATGAAATGCATTTACTGTATGAAAATTATTCTTGTTTCATCTATACATAAAAGTTATCAACTCTCATTCTCATAAATTAAAATGTATGTACACTTGCATGTCATGAAGAAAGTTTCACTTAATATTTCTATGGCTTTGAAATATGCAGAGGAAGTTCTTCCAGACTAGAACTCCACAGTTGGCTACAAGGATGAAAAAATCAGAAATTCAGTCTCGTTCTAAATTTGGTTCCTATACCAGAGACACATCTTTTCATGAATCCTCTACGACCTCAAGAAACTCTAGGTAAGTCGTAACAAACAAAATCTGTACAAATATATCTAATTGGAAATGTGTCTCTCCCTTATATTTGGATGGTATCTGATATGAATGTCGATGTAAGAACCCCAGTTTTACATATATATAGTAATTTATGTTCTTTTATCTTTTGACAGTGTTCAATGGAAACACACGAACCCAAAATTCTATTACCCAAAGATTATATCAGATACTTCTTCAGATGAAGATGATGCCTTATTTGAAGTGAAATCTGATATGAAAAGAATAAGTTATCAGCATCTTGCCACATACAATCCTCAACGCAAATTGGCTGATCAAATGCATAAAAAAGCATCCCGAAGACGCGAGTTTATAAAAAAGTATTACCTACAGAGGAAGGATCACAGAAAATCCGATCCACCAAAGGAGAAATCTCAAAAGTATTACCTACAGAGGAAGGATCGCACAAAATCCGATCCACCAAAGGAGAAATCTTCAAAGCCTTTAGTTGATAAGATGCAAAACAATGACTTACAGTTGCGAAAGATCAGATCCAGTCATTCTGTGAAATATTCACTTCATAAGTTTCAAGAAAGTAACTCACGGTCGTCAGACAGGATCAGTTCCACGAAGGAAGTAAATCGTGTTGAGACATTACAAAGTAACGTGCAAAAACAAATACTGTTTGTGAAAAATAAAGTTTTCTCTGAAAGAAAGGTCCAGATTGCATCAGCACGAAAGAAAAACCAGGAAATGGTGCCGTCCACAAAACATAATGACTTACTGCCAGAAATGAGTCATGTTAGAAAACTAGATAATCAAAACCAGGCAAGAAGGGAGATTGAATATATCAGAGCCGTACCTGAGGATGAGCTGTCAACACCAGATTTAAATTTATTGTGTTCATGCGAAGAAAATGATGTTCAAGGACAGTTGTTATTAAATAAGAGTCTGTTACATACCGAAGAAGTAAATCATTTAAGAACTACAAAAGCTTTAACACTTTTGTCATCTAATGAAGAACCCGCGATTCCCTTTTCTCTATCAGAAGATAACGATTCAGAAATAAGTCACATCACATCACCTCCAGTCAGCAGTTCAACTTTCTCACATTCACATCTTCCTGAAATATGTTTCTCTCCATCTCCAATAAAATCTCCAGCAGAAGTGGACAAGTCTTCAGCATCTGGAAATAAATTTGAAATGCATACAAATAATTTACATATTTTACCATCAGTACTACTGCATAATATTCAAAATGAGAGGGGAAGTTTAAGAAGGATAAAATTAATGCAGAAGAAGGAGAAGAATTCTGCTGAAATGGGGTATGTGAGATTATATTTATTCGTATGAAATTGTTCGCAAATGCTTCATTCAGTAGACATCTGAAATTGATTGTACTGAGTAAATTAATAACTGAAAAATGTTTTAACAAAGTAAACTGAAGAACCATCCAGTAGTCAGGGCCGTCCTTTGGGTGAGGCAAACAGAATGGCCGTCCTGGGCCCCACGCACAGGCATTACAATGTATTAAATGTTTAATTTTCAGTAGCACCTTCAGGGTGCAAGAAGTAAAAATGGCTGACTGTGCATTATACCTTGAATTATGTCAGTTTACTCATATGTGGAAAAGTGTGACAGAATATCTAGAAACAAGTAAAAATATATTTTAATAATCAGTCTTTTGGAAACAGAATCGGATAAAAGGTTCTCAATTTAACTGTTCTGTCATGCTTTTACATTCCTAATGCCAGAAAAATTAGTGCCAGGATTTTTGCTTTCAGAAGCAATACATACTTGAAACAACATTATGAAAATAATTTTAAATTACTGAGAATTTGTTATTCACTTTATTGAATTTTGCATGTTAAGTCACACTGCATTAAGTCTATTTTTATAATTACTAGTACGGTACAAGTACCGAAAATATTTTGAATATTCTGTAACCCTCACTGAAGATGCGATGTTGAAACTCGCATATAATAAATATCAGTGACGTGCACTTCTTGTATGGGAACAGCAATTGTATGTTCTTTATAAGACCAATTATGGTTCCTGGGTTAGAAGCTTGATCCGTAAGTGCTTAGATTACGAAGAAATATTAATGTAATTTTTTGTTTTTCTTAGGTTTCCAAATCCTATAGGAACCAACAAGTGCTGGATGAATTCCTCATTACAGGTTATTTTTGGAATGAAACCATTTATAGACGACACAGTCAACATTTTTGAAAAGTCTAACATTGTAGATCCAGGAGAAAAATATTCATTACTAATGGAAAAATTTATTGGAGTAGTGAGAGCAAGACAAAGGAGAAACCAATTACAGCTTCACAGAAACTTAGAGTAAGTGAACGTTCATTTGTGGCAGTTACTGCACTGTTGGTTTCTGACATGTGCAAAATTCCTAGTACCAATCTTAACGCTTATCACTTTAGCTAACGATAAGCAAAACCTGTCAGCATAATTGTTTCCTGTCTCAGTTTCTTCTTCATGTTTTCCAATTAACCAATTAAACATCAATGCTATTGTATGGTGAAGGGAAGGAGATAACGTAAAATACATTTATGCATGGTACAGCGAAGTGAGATAAGACTGCTTCAGTTCTGTTACTTTGTAATTATAGACATTAAATACTTAGCTCATCGTCATCTTAAACCTTTGAAGCACCTTGTTAATCACATTAAATTAATTAATATATCTGTGGGCAAGATCCAGACATACTGAATACTGAAGCAGGAGCTACATATAGCTCCCACCGTGCTGTAAATGGTAAAACCTAGTGATACTGGGGGTGGCTTCCTAGGCCTTTTCTATTGCACCATGCATATTTCTGCATTTTTTAGAATATCTTAATTCAATAAGCACAGCTGTATCATATTTTCTGCCTTAATATAATTTTTTTTTTAAAAAAATGATACATTTTATATAAGAATTTCATTACGCTGAATTCAAACTCATACGACTTTATGTCCTACCATTAAGATAAAGAGGCAGTCTAATTATATTGCTAGAGTTTTATTTATAGTTGTTATCTTTCAGACTGTTATATCAGTCTTTAGGAGTTCTGAATGAACATTTTACCACACAAAGTCAGGAGGATGCAGTTGAATTTCTCACCGAGTTTTTCAGTGCTTTACGTGAAGAATTCAGACGACTGTGTCACGATGAAGTGCGTGCCGCACTAGCTAATAAGGGCCGACAACAACATAGCAGCGGTAACATAAATGACATGAATAATTGCCGACAAGATAAAAGTAATATTCAACAGAGAAATCCTGTCGACGAAAATATTATTTTCAAACTTAAGGAGATCCATTCGTGTGTGATGTAAGTAAATAAGAACTTGTGCCCTTATTCTATTCAATTCTATCAGAGCTTACTATTCTGACTGGGATTTTAGTACTTTCAAGCAAGGTATTAGAAAGAAATTTTAAATTGGTTATAATCAATACCTTCTCCATTCACATTAAGTTATCACCAATATCCTTGAAAACATTTCCAAAAGCACTTAGGGTATTATCCCAACTGCGCTGTCTGGGATCTGTGCCTGTTTCCTTCTGCAATCTGTTGTTGAGAATGCGTTCCGCTGCCATTGTTTGATATATCTGGAACAGAATAGTAAATAAAGACCTAATAAACTAGTACAGTATTGAAAATGACTGTCTTAAGGGATGTTATGCATCTTCATTCCCCACTTAGTGTGTCCCTCTGAGGTCAAAATTTCTCCAACATTCAAACACTGACAGTTTTTATTATAGCCTCAAAGGGACACAAACACACATAAGAAATGATGAAATTGTTTTTTATAATATAATAATTATTGTTGTGGAAAATGTATGATAACAATCTTTGAATTAATAAGAGCAGACATTTTCAGAATATATTAATCTGTAATCAGTATCCAACCAGATACAGTTAATACTGAGTTCTTTCCAGGTGTTCTGAACATAACAGCAAAGAGACAGAGCATATGACCCTAATTGTAAATATTCCGTCGGAAGCAAGCACGGAAATCACGCTGCAAGAAGCACTGGAAAGGTCCATGGTGACCGAAACAAGAGAATTAAGATGTGTAAAATGCAACAGTCAGCAATGCAGAGTAATGACTGTGTTCACTTTTCTTCCAAGGTATTGTAATGTGACTCATTTATGATCAGAAATACATAAATTCCCTTCTTTTGTTATTCCCAATAAACAAATGACAGTATACACACTCAGAAAGTGTGTTCCATACTGGAACGCATAAAATATATTCGTACATTCTTTGCAAAATGCATTTAGAGGTATTAGTTCCACCTTGTTCAACGGTTCCCACTTTTGCCGCCACATCGGAGTACTTCAATGTCTACCTCATGACTTTCCTCATCCGCCATTTTGTTATCATCACCGCTCATATTCAAAAGTACGAAAACCATGAAACATCTCGGTCAGGATAGCTGGTCTCTGGGCCAAGATTTGAACTGAGGACTCCCAGAGGAGTGCTAACAACTTAAGTGCCAAATTCAATACATGAAATATATTGTTTTTTTCAGAATGAGATAGTAAATTTTATGGCATGTTTTGCATTTCAAAGTGCAAAATCTTGTTGATGTAAATATAATTTTAAAACAGTAAAATGAATGAGCAATTACTGTAATGAGGTCTTTGGTAACGTGTCCATGTTTTATATCTTGTAGGTTCTTAATTCTACATGTCAACCGCTTTAAAGTTCAAAATAATGTCATTAAGAAAGTGCGTAATTACATGAAGATACCAATAACCCTCACAGTGGAAAATGTGATCAGTAAAACTGAAACCTTAATGCCGTTGAAATGGACATCAGCTAATCATGAAAGGTATATACATTTCAATACATATTATAATGCTCATAAAATTAAATTTTCTTTTTGCAAGCACTCAGTGTGACAAGAGATGCTTTTTTCTGGAAATTTTCTGTCTTGCTCTTACGTTACGTTTGTGTTACCTTCACATAAAGCCACATGAAAATGAATCTGTGAAGGTGGTATTTTGGACTTTTTCCATCATCTGTATTTCAATAAAATCACATTTCAGAAGCCAGATCTTCTTCTGTCTTCAGGTAAAAAGGGTGAAATGTAATTTTATTGAAATACACATTACAAAGTCCAAAATACCAGAATATGTTTACAGATTATAATGCACCACTGTCAGAAAACCTTCAGACTTCATGAACACAATGCTAAAAAATATAAGGCTCCGAATGTCAATCTATACGATTACGTAAGTTAGATTCAGTATAAATTAACATGTGAATAGGTTAAGGTAACCTCTGATAAATATTTTATCCTTCTTAGATTTTCTTGGTCAAAGGAAAGCAAAATGAACTCCTGCCCACCGCAAAACAACAACGAAGGCAAAAAGGTAAAATATTTAATTATTCTAAATAATCATAAAGCACTGGTATTATTATGCTGTATAGGATGAGGGAAAAGCAATTACAACCAACATACATTTTTAATCACTTGCCCACCTAAAATTGTCTGTAGCTCCGCGCAGCCGTTAAATATTCTAGTCCAAGGAAGGAATTAGATTTGTCACAGTCATTTGAACTGTGGGGTCCGCAGTGGCCGCGCGGTCCGAGGTGTGGGCCTTCTGCCGCTTGGTCGCTGGGACCGTGGGTTCGAATCCCACTCAAGCCATGGATGTTTGTTTTTTTTTTCTGTGTTGTGCTGTCCTGTGTACAGGTAGAGGCCTCGCGATGGGCCGATCCCTCGTCCAAGGAGTCCTACCGAATGTCCATAGATCAAGCCAACGAAAAGTTGGGACCCGCAGTGCTCAGGCACTTGAAGAACAGGTCGTTCCCAGTATCCAGTATTTGAACTGTATTCTACATACAGTTTACATTTTCTTTCAGTCTCAATATAAAATGTAACATTTCACATTGAAACTGGTATTTGTGCAGAACTGTTTTGCAACGGCATCTTTTAGGTCTTGACCTGATGCACTTGTGACTTGATATATTATCAGAACTGGCAGCAAGCACTTCAGTTTGTATTCTCTATTAGAATGATACTTTTTTATGAACGTAACTCATGTATAAATTGGAATTTTGGTGAGTTACAGTTTTATTAAGAAACTGATAATATAAACTACTTTGATAAAAATTTCAGCTTTTCTAGGCCTGAAAAGAGGAATAACAGTATCGTCTTGGTGGTAATTTTTCTTTCAGTAACGTAGTCACTTTGCCCATATATGCCACATTATCCTCTTCTCTGTCCTTGACCGTTAACAGGGCGTGGTGGTGCTTCATGGGTTGGCTCTCCTGGCTTCTTCCGGCCAAGTCCTCTGGACCAAGGCAAGTTGTGAGGTCTCATGCAGAGTTTTCCCCACTAATGACTGCAGTTGGTCGACCCACCTGTACGGTGGTCTTCCTCGTGGTCTCCGTCCGCTCACTTTTCCTTCCACCACCAGCTTCTCCATAGAGCCATTTCTCCTGGTGATGTGGCCAAAAAAACTCAGGTATGCCTGAGTTATCCTCTTAAGGAGCCTGGTTTGAATTCTGAGCTCCTCTAGCACAGATTGGTTTTGTGCGGTGTTCAGTCCACGAGATTCGGAGGATCCTTCTGTACGCTCACATCTCGAAACTCTCTACTTTCTATAAGTTTTCTTCATTGTCCATGTTTCCGCCGCGTAGGTGGCAATCGGGAAGATGAGAGCATTGACCAGACAGACTTTGGCACATTATAGATATAAATTTATCTGAAATGTAATGTAATTTCTCACAGCAATAAATTGTAGATGCTAATTAGGATTTCTTTATGATCTCTCTAGCGTTACTTTTATTATGTTGCAGTTTCAATGTAGCATGGAAGATCCGAACGTTGTCAAGAACAAACTAGAGTACGCACTTATTGGCATCTTATCACACAAAGGTGATACTCCTAACTCTGGTATGTGTCCAAATTAATTCATAATAAGACTCTATGAAAATGATCAACATAGTAAATTGACTACAAATTAAATATAAATTTATTAGACAATAAATAATGCACGATTTGAGGTTTTCACGGCAGTGAGTCTGAAGACGACTGAGACAGTTCTTTGTTGCATGTTTGCTTGTCCCGTATCATCAATTTCATCGTTCGCCCACTGTTGCTTTTCACATACAACATACCACGGAGTCATACCGTCAAAACTCTAGTTGGACCCCGAATAAAGCAGGCATGAGTCTGAAGCCCAGTCTGTGCATGTCAGACAAACAGTAGATGAAGTTTTCTTTTATCCATTTACATTCAGCCTTTAACGTCACAATGAGACAATCACTGAATAAGTGATGGAAGCTATAAATAATTCATATATTAATTTTTGAGCGATTCGTATATTTCAGTGCAGATAACTTGTGCATAAATAACAGCAAAAAGATGATTTAAGAAGTGTAAGACTTGAGGTTCTCACAGCGGTGAGTATGAAAATATCCGTCTTCTGGGTTATTGCGCTGTGTAGTCTGGTCGATGTTAATCAACGTTTCAGATGAATATATTCATCGCCCTGATGACGGAGGCAGTATGACCTCTGAAACGTTGGTTAACATCGACCAGACTACACAGCGCAATAACCCAGAAGACGGATATCTTCATGATTTAAGAAGTAAAAGACACAAATATGTTCTTTTCAGGCCATTATGAAGCAGATGTTTATAACGTAATGACTGGAAAATGGAATCATTACAATGATGAAATTGTAACTAATGAAATAGAGGAAAAAATAACAGGCTCTTCTCGGCAAGAAAATGGTTATGGTTTCCTGTACATGTACAAGTAAGTTGTTCATTTGATACTGCAGCATTTCACTGTACTCGAGCTGTTTCCCCTTGTTACGTTTGTATTGAATTTAATCCAACATCACCCTTCCTGTTATTAAGTTCACTTTGAAATTTTGACCATTTAATTTGTTGTCGGGGGGGGGGATAGTGTCACATCAGAGTCCATTGCTTCAACAGGCTTAAAATATGTAATTTATGAAATGTGGGTCACAGTCCATTTCTTGTATGGCCAAAAAGGGTACAATCTGCTAGTCATCCTATAAAACATAGTTTGGCTGATATTAACCGCTTTTCTGATTAACCCAACATATGTTGAGTTTTAAGGAAAAAAATTAATCAATGAATTTGATGATCTCTCCGTGCTTCTTTATATAGTCCATTCTTCATTGCCATATGTGACCCTTGCAAATACTTTGTACATGTCTTTTAACAATTTTTTGATACTTAGGATTTTGACATGATTGTTTTATATTTCTACGTTATCCTCCTGCTTAAGATAGATTGCGTCCTAGATAATTCCAAGTATTAACTTGTTCCTGCTCCAAAATTTTTCTTGTCTTGACAGACCTTACTTTTGATTTTTTTAAGTAATTACCTGCAGGTTGTTTTTGTGGTTTCTATACCCTACTGTAATTAATTAGCTGAATGCATTGTCTTATGCAAAATGAGTTTCAGAATTGAATTATCTACATTTTCCATTAGTGAGTTTTAAAGAGAAATGCCCATCACAACAGGGAATGTCTATTTTGCTGGTTGTTACATGCTTATAGTCTTTAAGAATGATTACAAATATCAGTAATGTTATGATAATACTGTCTTTATATTAAATTCTTCATAAGTTAACCAAAATTCTGTTTTGTGTTTGTTACAGGCCACTTTTCAGCCAACTCGTAAATGAGCGTACGGTTTCAAGAAACTCTGAAAATCAATGAAAATACATTCTATTGTATGATGGCCAGCATTTAATTATATGTACTTTTATTTGCATCAGTCATGTTGCAGGTTATGTATATACAGATGTTAAAACCTTGCAGAATTTTGTACTGTGTACAATTATTTTTTTGTGAATTAAATATATTTTCTACATACACACGTGAGATATATAATTTTCTATACCGAAGCTTGCATTGAACTGTATTATACCATTTCTTCCTTCATTCCATTCTGTGAAAACTGAAAATTTGTGAATAATTTTTAATGGAAAACACATCTTAAAAGTACAAACACCTCACCATCTCCGATTGTGATGAAATTTGATATACATATTGGCCCCACAGCCAAATTTATCTGCCAGATATTTATTAATTTCTGTCAAGCAGCTCTTGAAATACAGGTGTTAAAAATAACTTCATGACAGTAAAATATAAAGGTACGTGTGTAAGGTTTTTCTTTAATAACTCTTTTGATAAAGCACTCCATGAAACATTCTAGAGCTCACAGTCAAACTTGTGAAATTTCAGAATTATTAGTTGTCGGATGTTATTAATTTCGAAAATTCGTTTCAGGAAGTAACCTCTGGGACTTGTTTGTAACTCGTCACAAGTGACAGGTACATACCGTGGGGCCACAAGAACATTCTAAGCTGTAATTAATTTTGGAAAGAAGTAATGTGGTAACACTGAAAAGAGGTAGGTACAACTGTTGCCGACAAGAATTTTCGGTGCAAATAATGCTTTGAAGCCCCAAGTAGTGAAAACTACAACACACAAGCTATGTTGATACAAGTGACAGGATAGGCGAGAGGTGTGGTATAAGTCGCAGAACTTCAAGTGAACAAAAAGCTTGTATTTAGTTGTCATAAATTATTTTATGATACAGAAAATGCATTAAGTGAAACAACCCATTTATAATTTAGGAAGCAATTTTTATACATTAATATCACAATATTTTTCAAAATATGAATCTAATTACAGCACAAAATGTAATTATGTGTGATATTCCTATTAGAAGTATTCTTGTGGAGTGACAGCTTTAAAAATGGTTCAGAGTTATACAGTAAAATCTTCTGACTAATGTGTAATTTATTTCACTCTTTTGCGTGGGTTTTTAAAGAAAGATACATTGGTTTATAGGGGACCATGTGCAGTGTAGCATAAGGGCAGAATCAGCAAATGGGAGAAATAATGGCTGCATGGTTAAAATGTAACATAAGCAACTACATGAACCAATAGTAAACGTGGGAAAAATGTTGGCTATGGGACAACACCCACTTCAACTTGTGACTTACCAAGTAACTGCTCGCTCCAAAACCTCTGAATAATTCTGGGACTGCTCATCATTTTCTAAAAGCTTACAAACGCGTTTCAAATTTTTCTCTCTTCCAGTATGGAACAAAAATTGATTGAAATGACTTACAATACCACCAGTATTAATAAATAAGTGAAAATGGTTTAGTGGGCTATTAACCTTAAATTAAAACCAATTAGGTCACAATTGGTGAAAGGTGTAAAATTTGTAGTAACAGGTTGGGTTAATAAGCCCAGTGATTATAAATCAATGATAATAGTGAATAATAATAAAAAATTTTCCCACATAGTTTCGGTAAGTTTACTGTATAACAAGTTATATTTTCTAAAAGTTATTATTCGCGCCAAAGATATCCTATCTTGTGGTCCATAGGAAGGTAATGAACATCTATTAGATACCGGAACCCCCAAATTTCCAGAATCGCCAACTGCAAGACAAATAAGACACTTATTGATCGACACAACTAAATTTAGAAACATTGGATTACGTCGTGGATGATACTTTATAACATTCTACAAACATTCAGTTTAATAACAAAAACAGTTACATGCAATTTTATTGATTCGGTTCATAATTTACATACTGTGCACGGACTACACTCTTCGCGTATTAAACCATTAAGTTTTGCTGCCTATAATTGTATATGAAATGTTTGAGTAGTAATCTTTAGCATAGAATGGGGAAATATTCAGTACTTCTAAGTTTTCTGGTTTTGTTGTGTAGCACCTATGTAGAGTCTGGTTTATTTGATGGCATGCTGAACAGTGTGAACCCTTGTGAAACGTACTGTGAGAAGACATATCCCGGAACGTCAGTGTCCAACGTAAGTACCGATTTGCCGTTCTCTTGAAGGATGCTGTCTTCATTGAACACTGACACTCCCCCTTCGTGTTAAGTCAACCACATTGATAATTGCATTTCCAGTGCTACTATAGGAGATTGTGCATTTAAAAGCACTGTGTATGAGTACGTTATTTTCATTACCATCATTTGTATCTGAATCTGTTTCCATCAAGTGAAAAGGTGGAGTGGGATTCGGCTTTGAAGAAACTCTAACTTGAATGACATAGGTTGCATGTAATAAAGATATTGCATCTTGGCAAGTTAACTGAGGTAGTTTAACTTGTATTTGGAAGGTACCTGGTTCATATCTTACCTTAAGTTTCATGGTTTTCCATTGCCCCTCATCTTGAATATTGGTATAGCACTTTGAAATAATCCATGATTAAACTTCCCAGGACTTTCAGCCTTATATCAGTTAAGGCTACCAGAATAACCTACATAGTTCATAGACTATTATCAAATAATGTACAATCTATCGTATCCTATCTGCAGATACTTGGAATACTTTTTGGTTTTCTGTAGCCACTGTATGCATTATTGTACTTTCAGATAAAATATGGATCATTCTGTCAGCAAGGCTGCAGGTTTTTTACTGTGGTATATTTGACTGGAGACAAGAAAAACATGGATTTGAACACTACCAAAGATGCTTGTCAGGCATGTACGTTGGTTTCATTTCACAGGAAGTTATCTATACTTCAGTTGGCATTTTGTGCCATGTAAAGTTGATCTCATTGTCTTCAGTGAAAGGCACATAAAGTAGTATATGGAGGAGATGCCTTACTGCCTTGTATGAAGAGTAGCTATGAATGGCCAGTAAGCACTCGCAGATTGCCGTCAAGTGTTGGCCGGCTCAGTTGCTTTGGTGGAGCCCACACTGTTAGCTAGCTGTATGCAGATCGTAAAAAGATGACATTAATAAGTACTAACATTACAATCTTCAGAAGTTAGTAATGTATAAGTTCTTAAAATAAAACATGCTTCTTTGTCGAAGTTATTGGGTGTTAATACATTTGTAAGACATAATTATTGACTTTAATTTCTTTTGTAATAATTTCTGTATCAGTTTTCCTAATAACTACGAAAATAATATTTTTCATGATACTTTCTCCTGTAAGTCATCAGCAGACTACTTCGGTAGTAAACATAAAATCTAAGAGGTATAAAGCATAGATATAAGAACTAATAGTAGATTTCTCTCCATGTTTTTCAATGTGAATATGTACAACGGATTTAAATACAGGCACATTTGTATGTATGTAAAATTAAGCCTTGCAGATATGTAATTATTTCAGTAAATTTAGTTTTCCTTTAATGGTAACTAAACCTTCCTTCATGGAACGCTGATCCAACTCCACTTTGTCATCTGTTACCAGTAACAAAACAAAATACCACAATGATAATTTCATTGTTAACACATATGCATGTACCTGTTTCATTACAGCTTGCATGGAAGCATATAGTCACACAAAGGATCGTTATGCGTGTAACCTAGGCTGTGCAAGCATCTATAAACAGAAAAAGGTTAGTAATTTTTATAGTTCCGTACTGAATGAAACAATAGACTGCTCATAATATTAGTTTTTTTACGTGGACTGGTAAGATTGTTACATAAAAATTTGTCTTTTTCCTTCCAACACAGGTTGATACTTTGGTAGCACAAATTAGCTGGTCAGTTTACGTTGAGGACGGCGACAGCATCCTTATGCTGCAGCCTGGTAAGCCTCGTCGCTGGTGTACAAAATGTTTACCTTCGTGCATACAAAATGTAAACATATAAATAATTTTCTCCAAGACAATGGTACTAATTGCACGAGCGTAAAGTTTTAATTGGTATCTCATAGTTTTAATGAACACATCTAATGCAAAATATATTTTATGGTAATAACTTTGTATTTCTTTTCTAAAAGCGGGTGATTTTGAACCAGATGATGTCCTGACAGATCCAGGGTTAAAGAGCCAGCTTGAACACAGTTGGGGTCCTGGAAGTGGGGATGACAACGGCATTAATCGAGGCAACGATCGTTTACCCGAGACTCACGTAAAAACTTTGCCTTTTGAAACGGATAAGGTAAGTTTTTAGTTTACGCGTTATCTGTTGAAATCTCTAAAGCAAGCAGTGACAGGATTAAAGAATGTCTTGATGTTCTCCAAAATTGGGATAAAGCTGTTAATTGGAATGGAGCTCACCATTATGAGGCAGTATTTAAAGGTTTAAAACCTGATTGAATTTTTTTTTGTAGCTTACAATATTTTTTGATCACTTATTCAAAACTGGCACTTTTAGTCAGACAGTGAGCCGATAGTAATGGTTTAGACGTCAAATGAACTACAGAGGCCTTTTTCTGGAAATGTAATATTGACATTCTTATAGTGATTTGAATATAAATGGAAGTTGTTTGGGTTGTTGCACCACAAAGTACTTTGTTGCATACAGTCAAAGTAGATCCTAGATGTAAGAACCCCAAAGACCACCATCTAAAAGTTTACGTTTTCTTCCAAGTTACCCTTTTGTCTGCAGGAACTTGCGGTGAAAGTGTGAATCAAATGACATTTACGCTACTATGTTCTCAAAGGTGGACAGACATAAGTACAGTAGGATTTCGTTATCCAGGGGTAGATTTAGTGGGGTCTATATGGTTTAAATAAAAATTAATTTTTAACATGTTATAAAATTTAGGGCATTTGAAAATAAAGGAATTAGTACAACAGTGATATATTATTTAATGTATTAACATGTTTTGCAGATTATCTGGGGTTAGAGTTATCCAGGAAAATATATTTCTCTATCAACCTGGATGACTGGGACTATTTTATTTGAAATAGTTTCATTACCTGAAAAATATAACTTTTCCTTTTTTCCTAGACTGGTGGTGTGGAGGATAAAAATACTTTGGAAACTGCTCATAGCCTTGGAGGCGACTGGTTAGATTGCGCGGCTCGTAAATCAGGCTTGCCGCGCCTACTTGTCGCCGGTGCTATCACGTTTGCAGTTCTGCTGGCCGTGTGGCTTTGCTTGGCACCAGAAAAACGAACCAGCAAGCTGGATATCTTAATAGCCTTGGATGAGCCTAAAGATCCGTTTGCTTGTCCACCCAAATATTCACTTCACATAGATAAAGTGTAAAATGGGAGGCAGTTTCAATTTGGTGGCTTCATAAGAAATATTTGTAAGATAACCATCACATCAAATGGTATTCGTAAAAAAATGATCTCTTGTACATGTAAGGTGCACAGAAGAGAACAATAACTTGTTATTAAATATTTACATATTTCTCTCAAATCTCAATGTGATTTTCATCTTGTCATAATGTAATTACGATATTATATTTAAAAGAGATTTTTGCTCGTTGCAAAAATATTTGTGCCTGTGTTTACATCAAAGAAGAAAATTAATGTTTGTAAGAAAATGGGGGGGAAGGGCAGAACTTGAAAATGGAAATTTGATACTGCAACTTGGCTACTTTTACATTTGACTAGATGAGTTTAGGAGCATATCTTGGAATATTTAAATGTTGGGTAATGTTTAGTCCAAAATAATGGTTGTATGTCTCAGTAAAATTGTCATATATACAAATATTGAGGAGGAGGAGGAACTGTAAAAAGACACGTGGAGAGGCTTGGTTGTCAAACACACATGAAGTGGAAACATCGTAAGAAGAAATACCACATACTCAAGGAATAATATGTATCACTTTTCTGAATTATAAAATTACTTCTTAAATATTACCGTGATTATATGGTATGTGACTGGAGTTAAGCAGAAACATCTTTCCCAATGTCCAATTCTTTCATTTATCCACTCATTCAGTCGTGTCGATACGTTACGTTTGGCCCGAGTTACTATGTAATTATATATTGACATTTGAAATTGAATAGCATTATTAGTTTGATGTCTTATGTAGATTATTTTCATCAATATGGCAAACGAATCTTCACAAATAATATTTAGTTGAAATGAAGAATATATATTACTTTTGAAGTAAAAATTAACACCTACAGTTTAAAGTTTTATTCTTTTTGAAATACATGTTTCAGCCAAATGTGGCCATCATCAGGTTCGAATACTGTTACTTATTCATTCTGCTGATGTAACTGTCCTAGTGCATTGAATTTTAAATTGTATTCGAACCTTATAATGGCCACATTTGGCTGAAACATATAGTTAAAAATAAAAAAATATGACCTGTGAGTGTTTGAACGTTACTGACAAGAATTTTGTGAATTAGGTGGTGACAGAAAAAATACATAAACTTTCTTCAATATTACAAATTATTATTTCAAGAATTGATGACAATTTCTGTACTGAACTGATGGCGGCCCACTATATGTTGTATTATGACTACCATTGGTTGATGATGAGCTTACTTACGACCTTTGAATAGCATATAAACCAGAAACTTGCAATTAAAAATGTAATTTGGTTGATATGTGTTTTAAGAATTATGTTATTTGAATATGTTTAGGGAATGTAGAACATAGATTCAGTAACTGGCAAAAATGCAATGCTAGAGGAATTGAATGCTGAATATGAAAAGCAATTTGCATTCATTAAGGCAGCTCTTGCTATTCTACTTCTGTGTCTTTTTTTATTATTATATTCTTGTTCAGTTTAAACACGTATTCCATAACTGCAAAATATCTAGTCACGGAACCTGACAAATGATGTACTTGCCAGTTGTTACCTCAGCCTTCTTTTATAAACGGTGTTGTATTTCCAATGTTTTGTTAATGTTGTGTTCAATTTTTGCTGTTTGTGTCATTTAGCTTAACAGAACTGCAGTATTATGAACTAAATGTACGAAGTTAGTAATTAAAGGGAAATTATATGTATGTTATCTCACTTTTGATGTTTATTGGTTGGCTGGTTGAAACACATTAAATATATTAAAACTGTGATATTAAAAGCAATGAATTATTGAATCTTCTTTCTTCCTATATTATGTGGCAGCTTCAGAACATTCTGGGACAGGAGTCACATCGTTAATCCGATGGCACAGTTGCTTTTAAAGTACCGTCGTCCTTCAGTAGCAGCACGCTTTCGCCTGCATTCATACAGTTCCATACATTTCTGAAGCTGTTCTGTGCAACTTCCGGCAATACGCACCTCAAATTCAGCCAGCTGACGTGTTACGGGAGATTACAATACGCGAAGATGTACCATAATACCGTGGTTGATGAGATACTGCTGCATATGCAGAAAATGTGTGCAGGGAAATTTGGATTTAAATATGAAAATAATTCGAGCACTATAGAATGCTGCTTGTCCTTGACGTAAACATGTCGTGCATCGATTACTGTTACTCCACGCTCACTCGGCACAATGCACTTGAAATGAACCACAGATGCAGTAAGTAATTTTCCTTCAAAAATTGCAAGACTTTGCCTAAATAAAGTAATTTTCTTGGACATAAATGTAACAAAATAAGCAGCGCAAATTCACTTACTTTTCATTGCATGACAACCTTACATCATAAATGAATGCTACAGAGCCTGTGCCATTAACAGCATCACTAAGTAAACCACAAACTTACATCATAATTAACTGATCTGTTCTACACAATATGCCATTCCTCTCTCAAGAAGTGTGATCATGACTGGATACACACTGTGAAAACTTGTTTCCCCTCTCTGACGAACAATTTGTTGGTACCGCTGCAATGCTCCTCCGAGAAGCTCTAGTCGTTCTCGCTCTGATGGATGGCCGTCCAACCACTGAGAGAAACGGCTTATGGACCAGTTTGCACTCTGGAAAACATGAGTACTGTTGAGATTATACATTTAATATATATAAATAACTTGAATTGTCCAGATAAGGCAATAAATAAAGACCAAGACATAAAATAAATAAAAGACGGAAAATCCACACACGCTAAATGTTTATGATATCTCAAGTGATTTACCTGATGTGGTGAGAGAAGTTCATTTGGTCCACGAGAAAACATGGAGAGCAATACCAAGCTGTATGGAATTACATCTCCCAGAGCTGGACTATCCAACACCTCTTCGTCACCGAGGAAAAGTAATGAATGTGATGTACGCATCATTCGGTACTGGCGACTCAGTTCAGATGTCTGTCTACAGAGGGGTACCACTGCTACTTCCATCTGCAAATAAAATATTAGTGTGTGCATTTCATTCAGGGGTGCGTGATATTTGGATAAACAAGGTATATACTGGAACACAAACCTGGCTGAAATCTGCAGAAAGTCGGACACGCCCTCCTTCTCCCAAGGGACGAACTAAGCAAGCATGGTTGAGAAACAGCTGAATGCAGCGGTGTGCAACAGGAACAGAGCTGAAACAATTAAAACATTTCTTGTAATGATCACCTTCTGGTTCATACCTGAGTGTATATGCATTTATCAGAAGAATCAAACTACCAAATACAAGATATTCTAAAAACGCACACAATACATATATTATTACATTAAACTTTTTAATAATGGCTATTCTACCAGAGGCAATTTTCTTATTCTTCTCAGTCCCTCTTATGTGAATTAACGCCTCTTCTGTAAGACCTTGAGATAAACTGTGTAAAAATGTGCCAACATATTATTAAAAATTATCTTAATATATAAAGTAAAGCTGTCACGTTATACACCTGAGGAGGTACAGCTCCTACACATTCTCAACCTCGGCACTAGATGGGGGTGAGTGGCCAGTGTCACGCCCTGGCCGTGCTTTATCCTCAGGGAAAGGATCCCTGGAACCCAATGGACAGGAGGCTGGGTGGGTCCCAGAAACTCTCAGTGTCATATTTAATTAATATCCATTAAGCCAAAGTGAATAATGGCACACATTATCAACGATGAATCCTTGGGTTTGAGATTTAAAATCAAATTCGCAACATAAGTCTTCTGAAGCAGTCAGTATTATCGCTGATGTTATATCATGACGAAGCCATGCCATGTATATATACTGCTTTAATGCTAAGCACTTATGTTTTATAACGTAGATCTTACCATTTCATAACTATTTCTTGACTCTGGAATGGTGCCAAGTAATTGGTGGCTGCCCTGGCAATGAAAGCCTGTAATTCTTTCATGTACAAGGAACAATGGGCAGCATCTGTCCTCCTGCTGCTTGTATTAACGCTACTTTCTCCTTCTGCTAGTCCCCTAAAACCAGGATCATCATCATCATGACACGACACTAAAAGAGCCAGGAGACTTATAACTATTGAAATGTTATAAACAAAGTTTTTCCCCACCTAATACGCCGCAATATACGTCTAAGACCGAAATGGTAATATACGTTTCAACATATTTTAAATTCAAAAGAATTCAGAGAATGTATCACCGGAAATAAGAAACAACAGGAAAAATCACACTTTTTTTGCGAGTCTGTCTGAACAGGCACGGAATCCCAGCCAGTACCTGTTCATTTTGTTCATTCCAAAATTTCTCTAGCATCTTTCCATCAGAATCGTATATAATCTTAGATAATACAGTAAAGTAACATTAACATAAAAAAATGTTTTACTGAATCGCTAAACTTGCATGAGGTATGGCACTCACATGGAATAATCTTCATTATGAATGGTAAGAATAATTGCCTCTATAGCATCAGATATGGACGCTAAAAGAGGAGTGACTATATTTTGGATTAGTTTGTCCGTGTGGTTCAGCGAGTCCTGTATGATATTAGCGGCATCTGGCGATAAACTCGTCTTCATATTGACCATAACTCGTCCCACTTGTCCATTCAAGTAGTGTAACAAATTTGCTATGGATATATTTAGCATTTGCCCAGGTGTGCAAGTGTCTGAAACACAGCAGTCGAGCACATAATTAACATTTTGTTTTCGCTTATTTTTACAGGCGCTGAGGCAGAAAAGAAGAAGATCCCAGTTAAGAATGGAAATACAATGTCTTGTTAAAATTAAGTTTTCATTAAATAAAAATAAAAGTTTGTAATTAGGTGGTTGTAAATTTAAAAAAGGTTGAAGTGTACAGAGTATACACAAAAGAATGGCGCGGTTTCAAAAGTTAATAAAATATTTACTTCTCGCCTTATACGGGCACAACATACACCGTCAGGTGAGAAATAATCCTTTTATTAACTTTTGAAACCGCACCATTCTTTTGTGTATAACCTGTATAAGAATTTACTACTTGTGCCCTCTTACATTACAAATAATTCTTATTTTCATGAGATCAATTAATTTCCGTACAAAAACACGCCAACTGAGGTTAAAGACTGCCTTTCAAGCATATTACGTAAGCTCTTGTAGTGTCTTACATTGCTCAAAGGACAAGGACTTCATGAAAGTGGCCAACTTTTATTCAACGAAAGAACGAAAACAAATATTTCCCTTACCAGCACTGAACTTACCTATAACCTGTGTGGCTTCTCCATCAGTAACAATCATCTGTTCACACTTGAGGCAGAACAAGCGAACAGTCTTGCTGATGTTTCTAGCGACTGTGCAACTCAGAAATACATCAACAAGAGAGACACTCAGCTCACTGGATCAAAAAAATGAAACAAAACATTATCAAAATTATTGTCTGTTATTAATAAATGTCAATACATGAGTATCTGTATGCATATTTATATATCCACAAACACGAAATGAAAATTATTGCATATTGTTGTTGTTGTTCCTTGGCTCTGCAACCCAGCTGTGGGTCTTCGACGCCTCCTATTCAGAGGTTTTTTTGGTCTTTGAAGTGTGCAATTGTGAATAGCGGGTGACCAGCCCACTGACTGCACAATTTATACTCAATCCTGATTTGACTGCCAGAGCCATCTATCAGTGAACTGGTGAGAAATGGCCGCTGAATTTTGCTTACATCTCGTTAATGCCCGTAAAGTTATTTTACATGACGTAAATCCACGACGTGGGACCACCGGCTTTACTTCCCCTCCGAAGGAAGTTGTGCTACGGATTTTTATCACCCTTAAAAATCCATCAACCTCGGCCGGGTTTGAACCCGCGAACCTTGGGTCCAGTGGCGAGCACGCTAACCACTAGTCCACCGAGGGCGACTGTTGCATATTAAACCAAAAAAATTATTCTTTGAGATAGACTATGACAAAAAATATAGAGAAATAAAAGGAAGGCAAATGCTTACATTCTAATTCTGAAACTAGTAAATTTATAAATTTTGTAATCACCTCGTAATTGTTCTGATGAGAGAATCAACTTCCTCATGAGGGGGAACAGCATCTCCAGAGAACATAAGATGGACAGGATCCAGCAACCGGGATACAGAACGTGATAAATATGCATTCTCAAACTGAGAAACCACCTCACGACTACAAAAAAGAATGAAGTAACATTTAGCCATATAATATACTAGAAAAGCAGCAAAAACTCATTTTTAATTTATAAATTCCTTTCTGGACTTGTACAGAAATATATATTTCATGAGGTGACCATAGGAATTACAAAAAAATATCTACGAAACAAATTAATACTAATTCTAACCACAATCATCGCCCTGGCCGTGCTTTATCCTCAGGGAAAGGATCCCTGGAACCCAATGGACAGGAGGCTGGGTGGGTCCCAGAAACTCTCAGTGTCATATTTAATTAATATCCATTAAGCCAAAGTGAATAATGGCACACATTATCAACGATGAATCCTTGGGTTTGAGATTTAAAATCAAATTCGCAACATAAGTCTTCTGAAGCAGTCAGTATTATCGCTGATGTTATATCATGACGAAGCCATGCCATGTATATATACTGCTTTAATGCTAAGCACTTATGTTTTATAACGTAGATCTTACCATTTCATAACTATTTCTTGACTCTGGAATGGTGCCAAGTAATTGGTGGCTGCCCTGGCAATGAAAGCCTGTAATTCTTTCATGTACAAGGAACAATGGGCAGCATCTGTCCTCCTGCTGCTTGTATTAACGCTACTTTCTCCTTCTGCTAGTCCCCTAAAACCAGGATCATCATCATCATGACACGACACTAAAAGAGCCAGGAGACTTATAACTATTGAAATGTTATAAACAAAGTTTTTCCCCACCTAATACGCCGCAATATACGTCTAAGACCGAAATGGTAATATACGTTTCAACATATTTTAAATTCAAAAGAATTCAGAGAATGTATCACCGGAAATAAGAAACAACAGGAAAAATCACACTTTTTTTGCGAGTCTGTCTGAACAGGCACGGAATCCCAGCCAGTACCTGTTCATTTTGTTCATTCCAAAATTTCTCTAGCATCTTTCCATCAGAATCGTATATAATCTTAGATAATACAGTAAAGTAACATTAACATAAAAAAATGTTTTACTGAATCGCTAAACTTGCATGAGGTATGGCACTCACATGGAATAATCTTCATTATGAATGGTAAGAATAATTGCCTCTATAGCATCAGATATGGACGCTAAAAGAGGAGTGACTATATTTTGGATTAGTTTGTCCGTGTGGTTCAGCGAGTCCTGTATGATATTAGCGGCATCTGGCGATAAACTCGTCTTCATATTGACCATAACTCGTCCCACTTGTCCATTCAAGTAGTGTAACAAATTTGCTATGGATATATTTAGCATTTGCCCAGGTGTGCAAGTGTCTGAAACACAGCAGTCGAGCACATAATTAACATTTTGTTTTCGCTTATTTTTACAGGCGCTGAGGCAGAAAAGAAGAAGATCCCAGTTAAGAATGGAAATACAATGTCTTGTTAAAATTAAGTTTTCATTAAATAAAAATAAAAGTTTGTAATTAGGTGGTTGTAAATTTAAAAAAGGTTGAAGTGTACAGAGTATACACAAAAGAATGGCGCGGTTTCAAAAGTTAATAAAATATTTACTTCTCGCCTTATACGGGCACAACATACACCGTCAGGTGAGAAATAATCCTTTTATTAACTTTTGAAACCGCACCATTCTTTTGTGTATAACCTGTATAAGAATTTACTACTTGTGCCCTCTTACATTACAAATAATTCTTATTTTCATGAGATCAATTAATTTCCGTACAAAAACACGCCAACTGAGGTTAAAGACTGCCTTTCAAGCATATTACGTAAGCTCTTGTAGTGTCTTACATTGCTCAAAGGACAAGGACTTCATGAAAGTGGCCAACTTTTATTCAACGAAAGAACGAAAACAAATATTTCCCTTACCAGCACTGAACTTACCTATAACCTGTGTGGCTTCTCCATCAGTAACAATCATCTGTTCACACTTGAGGCAGAACAAGCGAACAGTCTTGCTGATGTTTCTAGCGACTGTGCAACTCAGAAATACATCAACAAGAGAGACACTCAGCTCACTGGATCAAAAAAATGAAACAAAACATTTTCCAAATTACTGTCTGTTATTAATAAATGTCAATACATGAGTATCTGTATGCATATTTATATATCCACAAACACGAAATGAAAATTATTGCATATTGTTGTTGTTGTTCCTTGGCTCTGCAACCCAGCTGTGGGTCTTCGACGCCTCCTATTCAGAGGTTTTTTTGGTCTTTGAAGTGTGCAATTGTGAATAGCGGGTGACCAGCCCACTGACTGCACAATTTATACTCAATCCTGATTTGACTGCCAGAGCCATCTATCAGTGAACTGGTGAGAAATGGCCGCTGAATTTTGCTTACATCTCGTTAATGCCCGTAAAGTTATTTTACATGACGTAAATCCACGACGTGGGACCACCGGCTTTACTTCCCCTCCGAAGGAAGTTGTGCTACGGATTTTTATCACCCTTAAAAATCCATCAACCTCGGCCGGGTTTGAACCCGCGAACCTTGGGTCCAGTGGCGAGCACGCTAACCACTAGTCCACCGAGGGCGACTGTTGCATATTAAACCAAAAAAATTATTCTTTGAGATAGACTATGACAAAAAATATAGAGAAATAAAAGGAAGGCAAATGCTTACATTCTAATTCTGAAACTAGTAAATTTATAAATTTTGTAATCACCTCGTAATTGTTCTGATGAGAGAATCAACTTCCTCATGAGGGGGAACAGCATCTCCAGAGAACATAAGATGGACAGGATCCAGCAACCGGGATACAGAACGTGATAAATATGCATTCTCAAACTGAGAAACCACCTCACGACTACAAAAAAGAATGAAGTAACATTTAGCCATATAATATACTAGAAAAGCAGCAAAAACTCATTTTTAATTTATAAATTCCTTTCTGGACTTGTACAGAAATATATATTTCATGAGGTGACCATAGGAATTACAAAAAAATATCTACGAAACAAATTAATACTAATTCTAACCACAATCATGACCAAATTTAAAAACATGAAACTTTATTTTTCATTCAGTGAAAACACCCATTTCTCTCTTATAAGTTTAAAAACTGTCTTAATAATGGCTTACCACTCCACTGCAAAGACTGAAATACATAAATTCATGCTGTTATCATTCATGTGAAATTTTCTGGGGAATGTTAAAATTTATTATGAAAATAATAATACAAAAAACTATTTACCCGGTTGGAAAAAAATGCTAAGAGCCGAACACATTAAAAATTATTCAGTTTTACAGGGTACTGACGGTGGTATGTCAGAATCAGGATCATTAAATTCTTGGACTATGCCCACCGTCTGTTTTTTTTTTTAAAATGGAAGTGTATGATATAAATTTTTCAAGTACTGATTTTAACTAATGCCCAAGAGACACATTAAGACAATCAGCAACTCACTTTATATGAAAGCTTCCAGAATCAGTGCCTTCTTGTTCTGTGCCTCTTGCCACGGTAGCTTCGATCTGCTCTGAGCTGTGATCGATGGCCTGAATCCTCTTGCACATATCGAGATAAAGACGAAGGAACTTTGGATATTCACCTTCAAGGGCTTGTTTTACGAACATTGAACCTGAAGAATTAACAGTCAGTATAGTGATCAAGCAAGCGCACTGGATGACCGGGGTTATATCCACGACAGGGACAAAATTTTTCTCCCAGGGGGTTCGTCATTGAGCCGGGCCTGGTACCCGGTGACAAACATGTTATCCGATCGGAAAGCTGGGCTAAAAATAGCGAGCACATCAAGCCCTATTGGCTAACGCGCAGACAATAACATGGAACTACGTCAGGTATACACAGGGCACGGACAGGATCTCCTACATCTACAGTACCCTGAGGACGATGACAAAGGTTCCCATAACGTTAGCATTTTCTTCAATAAACTAACTTACACGGCTGGTGGCCCAAGAAGAATTCATTATATTATACGCTCATCTATGCCTAGGTCTTCTGAGTGGTCTCGCTGTCATGGGAACCTGAAAACAATCAATAAAGCATGCTCACCCTGTGCCGCCTCGGCCAGTTCCTGTGCCAAAAGACTGGTGACATTCTGCCACAAATTGGCTGCCAGCTGCTGGTTTTTTTCAGGTAACAAATCCATGTAACAGGCTGAATTATGCTGTGACAACACTCCCGAGTCCCCTCGCAATTTACGCCTCAGTATCCTCTGTAGAAGCTCCACCTAAAACAAATTTTTCTTTCTTTCACGTTCAGAAAATCTAAAATTCACAAACTGTGAACAAGGGATATGGTGCGGGGTAGCCTAAAAACACTAAATGTCAGCGAATTTGGTGGGGGGGTTTAAGAGTGTGCCTTAAATCTATCGACACTTTTGTTAAAAGTCTATAGGAGTAACAGAGATTAAACTTATGTGTACTGAATGAAAATAAAGAAAATATATCTTCACCTGCTCGGACATCATTGATATCACTTTCATGACTTCAGAGTTTGTAGATCTGTTCTGCCCAATAACACGTAATCAGAATGTCACTACAGGTTCCCACAGTCTCATAACCTTGTAAGAAATAACATACATAATGATATGAGATATCATGAATTAGGGGTTGAATTACCTGATGACACTCTGTATATATAGCCGTGTCAAACAGAAGTTCCAAAGCTGCCCAAAGGCGAGAACGGAAGTTAGCAGTGTTGCCAGGTGAAGGCATGGCCGCTCTACCTGGAGCGCCTGTATATTAAAAGAACATGATAGATACGAATAAAAATATTGCGAGGATAAATATGAAGGATCTGGAACTGCAAATAAAAGAAAATAACTCAAATAATGATTCAGACTGAGATGGTTTATACAAATCATACGGAGTATTATTAACACATTCACTCCCGTATCCGAGTTTTTATCATTTAGTGGCGCTTTGTCCAGACTATTACATCCGACCATGGCCAGACAGCAACATGCCAGATCTTACCAGACCACGCAGCAAGCATACCAAAGTACCCAATTTAATTTTAAAGTACGCATTATATTACTGGGTTTTTAAAACAAAAAGTACCTCTGCCTTTGATGGCATCTGCTGCGGTCGCTTGGCTCAACGTATTTACGTCCAAAGCCTCTTTTATACTCTGCTTTATGTTGTGCTGTGCCGTCTCAAGCACGTGGCTTACTGTACCGTCAAGTGATCCAAGATTGCAAAAGACCTGCACAGCGGTTCCAACCTGTACAACATTTTCTACGGTGTATTACACAATAAAATGCGGTACAAAGAAATGAAGATACAAACAAAAATGATATCATGTATTCGTCTTGCTGCAGGACTTTCAACTTGGTTTGGTAGGTGGAGTCCCACGAGATCAACTTTATACTTTTCTACAAAGAAATGATTACGCAGTTTTATGTTCAAAAATGGCAGTGTACTTAGCATCATATCACTGTTTATCAATTTCTTGGTTCTAACTTATGTTCACACTGAATCTTGTGCAAAATTAAAAGCCATTATAGGCTGTCTTTCAAGTTGTATGTACACGACAATGGTAAATGTTATCACCTTCAACTTTTTCCTAAGAATGACTAATCCAAAGATCACTGTCTTCTGGGTTGTTGTGCCGTGTAGTCTGGTAGATGTCCACCAACAATTCAGAAGACTTTTTTGATAAATGACACAAAAAGGCCTCTTTGTGAATGAATTGTCAATTATAAAATTAAAACTCAGAAAATCATAACTGAAACCAACAAACATGACAATGACTCCCTCTAATAGACAGAGCCACTACTGACTCAAAACACATTTCCTGCTTGTAATCCTGGGGTCTCGGGTTCGAATTTATAACTTGTGGTGGTCTAGGCAACACGGAGTTTTTCTCCGTGGCATCCCAACAATTACTCTATTCACACACAGAAGCAGGCAATGGCAAACCACTTCTGGATCATCTGCCAAGAACGTATATGAACAGGTCCCAGTCCGAGAAAAGGATGGAAGGATCCTGTTCATATGGACCTGACGTCAGACAGAACACTAAATAAATAACAATGATCTGCATGTGATGTATGATTAGGGCTATGATGAACACATGTGAGAACCAATAACGCTAAAAGTTAGAATCAATATTTGAAAATGGTTCAACATTTCTCTGTTAACCTGTGATAAGTTCTGAGTCTGAAGTCCTTGTGTTAGCATGAGTTTCGCCTGTCTCTCAACCTCAATTCGATGATTTCGAATGAACCGTTGATCTTCCTCTATCACCTCGAGTCCAGACAGATCGACGTCCTCGGACAACTGGGCTAGAAATAAATCAAATCAATTTTTAAAAATACAAATAATAACAGTAAAAAAATACAGGATTTGTAAACATGAATACCAAAATATTAACTTTTAGATTTGAGCTACAAAAGCATACTTAGTTCACTCAGGCTCTGTGCAGCCTTGGTGATATCAGGGTTAGAACCCTGCATCTGAGCTCCCAGTCGACGCGACAAATGCTGTATGCGAGCCACACGTCTCAAAAGATCCGAAGTCGCGTGGAGGTGAGACAACATCATAGTCTGCTGCTCGATCTTATTGAACGGCTCAACAATTTTTGTTCGCAGCCGCTCGACGGCAGACAGCAAGCACTAAGAAGAGCAACATGACACATACTGAAATACACGAACTACTAACATCAAAGTGGATTGTATCAAATAAGGAAACTGCACTGTTCTGTTAGTATCAACAGTTACGGTTCCCAAAAATCAGTAAAGTCATTGTGAGTTAACAGGCACAGTCCCAAATTAATTAATTTTAAAACTACTCAGATTCCATATGTCTTTAAAGTTTGTCCCACTTTACGCCATGTAGGCGTTTGGGGGGAGTTGAGGTATAGCTCCTCTCTTCCTTGACCTCGGCACTAGATGGGGGTGAGTGGTCAGCATCACGCCCCGGCTGGCTTTACCCCCGGGAAGGGACCCCCGGTACCCATTGGATAGGAGGCTGGGTGGGCCCCAGAGCCGGTCTGGACGCAGAGGCTAGAGGAAAAATCCTCTGCCCCCGTCGGGGATCGAACCCCGGTCGCCCAGCCCGTAGCCAGTCACTATACTGACTGAGCTACGCTGGCTCTTCAGATTCCATATGTCATCAACCTTATTTTAGAATTAAAATATCTGTATTATAATTCACCCATTTTTGCAATTATTCAGTTACAGATCACCAAATTATCTCGTGCTTTGTATGGACTGACATTTCTCTAATAGAACTGATGCGGCGGAGAAAGCAGGGCCACCCACTCAAAAGGTTTTCTATAATAATTCATTACCTGGACATGCGTCTGCATGACAGCAAGCACCCCATCCAGTTTTTCAACCCACGTTGCTTGTGACAGAAGATCTTCATGATTAGCCATAACCTGCCTCTGCAATTCCTTGTCCAGGAGACTGATCCCTAACATTACAGCAAAAACAACTGATTCTGAAATTACTGTACAGTTTAAAATACATCTAATTATATACACACAGACAGATCAATGATTCACAGAAGGTGGAATACATCTTAGGAAGAAGATAAACATGGAAAAAAAGTAATTTTAAAATATTTGTATCATTGAGATGAACAGACATACGCCTGAGCACAGCTCACCTTCAGTCAACTTCTTCAGCTGTTCTGTTGCTGCTAAACCTTGCAAAACTGCCTGGGACTTAACAGATGTATCATTCTGTAGAAACTGCTTATAAAATTCTGTAGCCATAAGAAATTAATTTTATAAATAATATATACACTTAAGTTAAAATATGTCTTTGAATTGTTACAATACATTTAGTTCTATCCATTTATGATTTAAATTACTCTCTCCAGATCTAAAGTAATTTAGTCTAACCTAACTGCACCCCACTGTTGTACATAATGCAATGCTTGAAATTGATGTGACCATAATATAAGTCATTTTGTCACTCAATAAGCACTTGTCATATACAAACACCTTATGTGTTCTGAAATGCTGTTACTGGTTGGTGTAGTGTCATCTTACTCGGTACTTTCCTGTCAGGATACACATTGCTAAATGCTTCATGAACAACAGCAAAACATGTCATAAAATGTTCAAGAAATAACACATTCTGTTCATGAATACACAATGTTCACACCAGAATAGAATTTGTAAGCAGCGGCCTAGCAGCCACAGTAAATTTTGGCAAGAGTGTCATGACGTAGGCTGGGAGAGCTGTTTATTCATGCTTCTGATTTACTTTTTTGTCACACATGATTGTTCTCAGACTGTATTTTAAATGGTACTGCTTGTTCATACACAACCAAATAATAAGATAATTACAGTTACATAAACAAAATTTGATGAATGATGCAAAGAAATTATCATATCTGGCTACCAACATAGGAATATGATTACAGATCACAACATAAGGAGAAATAGTGGCCAATAAGAGAGAACGGAGCTCTGAGAAAAGAAAGGAAAACTGTACACTAAACATGATTTAAAGGAAGTTTGACCTTTGAAACGAACTATATGTTGTTAATTACAAACTACTGCAAGAGTATTTCCATAATACACTGTCCCAGACTATAAGATTTTATGGAAAAGCGAATCGTATATGGTACATTGTGGCCTCTTCAGATTAATGCTACCCAAAGGTTTACATGCCCTCTAAATGTTGTAAATAAGTTAATTAAAATTAACTGTGTTCTTCCTGTATCACGTGTAGGTTATGCTCCAAATTACAATATAATAATACTTATTGACAGTTAACGTGAAATTAAAAGACCGCAACACTATAAAATCCTTCAGCAAACATAATACATTAGAGTTTTTCTCGAAAGGTTCAAATATTACCATCACGCTCAATTATATCCCATACGTCTGTGTCTGTCATTGTAATTATATTCGGTCTTGAGCAGCTAGTTTTACTAGATCATGCTGATCAACGAATAACTATTTACTGTTTAACAAGTATTAATTCTAATTAACAGATACGCAACACGTATACGTATAAGAATACGCCGGAAGATCGAGTGGCTTAACAACAGCTATTAATTGGAGTTGAAACAGGTGAGTGCACACTTGGGGTACCAACACTTACATATCCGTTTTCCCATATTTTTGTGGAACCGTAACTCTGCCTGTTTTAACGCACTGTGCGTTTATTCTGTGTCGTTGGTGTTTGTGCATTGACGTTTAATGTTATGATTTTTTATTGTTCCTGGTTGCAATTTATTAAAAGTAAGCTAAAGTTTAAGGTGCCAGACAGTTTTGCCGACAATCCATACTCATTTAAATGTTATCTGTGTTTTCTTGGATACATGTTATACAGAAAGCTGAATAATAAGGTACTTAAAATTAATTACATTGTTTCTGTAGAAAGTGAGGTTATATGAGTTTGGGTATTGGATTAACTGAGTTCACATAAGTTGTTTACTTAAAATGTTTTTTCTTCTTAATGTGAGATCTATCACTACAGATCATCCTCAGCTTGTTGATAGTTACAGTGACAAAATTATTACGTACTTGTTTATAAATTAATTTTCAAAGCTGTGGAGAACAGTTCTGTGTAACACTAGTCCCTTGATAAAACTGTAGAATTGGATACTTCCCCAGCTCACACACATCGCTCTACCCATGTGAATGTTCCTCATATCACACTTAAAGTTGCTGACATAATCCATGACAAGGTGTAGAAATACGAGTATAATGGGTTCTAACTGTAGCTTGTTACATTCAGTTTTGCTATTTTTCTGGACTTGGTCGATCATTCAGTATTGGCGAATCGTATATGGTACATTGTGGCCTCTTCAGATTAATGCTACCCAAAGGTTTACATGCCCTCTAAATGTTGTAAATAAGTTAATTAAAATTAACTGTGTTCTTCCTGTATCACGTGTAGGTTATGCTCCAAATTACAATATAATAATACTTATTGACAGTTAACGTGAAATTAAAAGACCGCAACACTATAAAATCCTTCAGCAAACATAATACATTAGAGTTTTTCTCGAAAGGTTCAAATATTACCATCACGCTCAATTATATCCCATACGTCTGTGTCTGTCATTGTAATTATATTCGGTCTTGAGCAGCTAGTTTTACTAGATCATGCTGATCAACGAATAACTATTTACTGTTTAACAAGTATTAATTCTAATTAACAGATACGCAACACGTATACGTATAAGAATACGCCGGAAGATCGAGTGGCTTAACAACAGCTATTAATTGGAGTTGAAACAGGTGAGTGCACACTTGGGGTACCAACACTTACATATCCGTTTTCCCATATTTTTGTGGAACCGTAACTCTGCCTGTTTTAACGCACTGTGCGTTTATTCTGTGTCGTTGGTGTTTGTGCATTGACGTTTAATGTTATGATTTTTTATTGTTCCTGGTTGCAATTTATTAAAAGTAAGCTAAAGTTTAAGGTGCCAGACAGTTTTGCCGACAATCCATACTCATTTAAATGTTATCTGTGTTTTCTTGGATACATGTTATACAGAAAGCTGAATAATAAGGTACTTAAAATTAATTACATTGTTTCTGTAGAAAGTGAGGTTATATGAGTTTGGGTATTGGATTAACTGAGTTCACATAAGTTGTTTACTTAAAATGTTTTTTCTTCTTAATGTGAGATCTATCACTACAGATCATCCTCAGCTTGTTGATAGTTACAGTGACAAAATTATTACGTACTTGTTTATAAATTAATTTTCAAAGCTGTGGAGAACAGTTCTGTGTAACACTAGTCCCTTGATAAAACTGTAGAATTGGATACTTCCCCAGCTCACACACATCGCTCTACCCATGTGAATGTTCCTCATATCACACTTAAAGTTGCTGACATAATCCATGACAAGGTGTAGAAATACGAGTATAATGGGTTCTAACTGTAGCTTGTTACATTCAGTTTTGCTATTTTTCTGGACTTGGTCGATCATTCAGTATTGGGATTGGGATTGGGATTATCAGACAGGAGCAGATCAGGTCCAGAACAGCAGTATTGAAGGTGACAAAGTGTTTAGCTATTGCAACTAACATTACAAAAGTCTGTTGTAATGCTTTGGTTTAAAAGAAAGACTATTTAAGCATTGGTTTAATGATGATCAGTATTAGCATTAGTAATAATTGGTTAAGAGTTTATAAACTTATAAAGGAAAATGTTTCTGGTGTTCATGACTTTCATGCCTAAACCAGACAGTATTCAATTTCAGGACCAGTTAGGTTTTTTTTTCTGTGATGGAGACTAAAGAAGGAGAAGAAGAAGAAGAAGAAGAGTGTGAGAAATGTGAGGCTGTTAAACTGTCACATGACATTTTTCATGCACCATCATTAAAAGATAAAGGTAAAATATTTAAATATGTGAATACAGGGAAGTTTGAGATGTTAATTGCTTCAGACTGGTGTGTTCATATGTAAATGTTGTACGGGTGTTTGTTTCGGTTCAGGATACAAAGTGGGAGAGCTTCACACACTGCTCTCAGATGCTGGAGTTTATTCATATGCTGCAATCTGTGCCTTGGCTCTGCATGAGTTATATGACAATGCGTGGGATCAGAAGTTCAATCATCAGTGCATAAAACTCATCCTTGAACACTTGCATTTACCCAAGCAGGTACTGATCCATATCAAGTAATCAAAATACATTTTGTATTTACTTATTCTATGACTCATATCAAGAGTTGAGGTTATGTTGTGTTGTCATACTGCCTCCGTCATCAGGGCGACCTGATGACGGAGGCAGTATGACCTCTGAAACGTTGGTTAACATCGACCAGACTACACGGCTCAACAACCCAGAAGACAGAAATCTTCATACTCACCTTTGTGAAAACCTCAAATCTTACAGGTGCGTGTTTTTTTCTCTCCCTTTAGGTTGAAGCTGTGATGATTAGTCTGATCGAGGGCCAGGGAAGCCAGTCGCCTAATGCTTATGTGGAATTGTTATTAAGTGAACCAACGCTTAATGGAAAAGCTTTATTGGTCATAGAGGATCTTATAATGGTAGCTGTTCATGGAGGTAATTAACTGTATTAATGATTAATGTCGCTTGCTATTAATAAAATGGGATTTATTTAATGTACTGGATTCAACTGACTCAGAATGGAGTCCAGTTAAAGGGAATTAGTTATTGAAGATGGCCCCTCTTTTGAATTGTAGTGCCATGTAGCCTGGTGTAAGTTTACTGATGTTTCAGAGGTACCTGCTACCTCAGAAACATTGGTAAACGTCTACCAGACTGCACAGTGCTGCAACCTAGCGGACAGACATCTGTAGCCTATAGTTAATTTAAGTAATTATATATTGGTTATGTGGCATCTTGTAATATGGAACAAATATTTGGAGTGCATTCACAGTAATTCAAATTTATGTATTAGAGTGGATAACACATTATTAAAGTGAAATAGTCTTTGTCATATAAATATTTATATTGACAGATAAACAATGAAATAATTTAATTTTTACAATTTTATTGCTTCAAGGACTTGCAACTGGTGAGTATTCATGTACTTAATGCACCCATGGAAGAAAATTATTTATATGTACCACCTATTTCAGCAATCCAAACATTTCATTTTTACCTACAGAGGGTATTTGTGGATTTTGTATGATTTTAAGAGTATAACATCAAGAAATCTGTCTTTGTAATGGTAAAGACTTAATGTTTTATTTTTTCATTGGAACTGAGTCATTAAATATTCTTTGGATAGTTCTGGTTTCGAAGAGTTAAAATCATGTTTTAATATGAATTCCTAACATAGCCTGAATAATAAATTGATGGTGGCATTTAGGTTCTAGATGGCAATGCAGAAATTGGTGGGATTATATATACAAGAATAAAAATTTAATAGTATTTTTAATTCAGTATCATGGACATTCAGTTATCTAAGACGTGTGTTAATAGTTGATGAAGGGATGTTCTTGTGACTAACATATGTTTCTTCATAATAAATTAGCTTTCATTATTTAGCAGCTTTACCCAGATTACGTATAATCTTATTAAATTGCCCATATATTTAGGCATTGACTCTGTGTGTCTTACGACACAGTTGTGAAGATGATCTCTACACACATTGCAGCAACGAAATTAGCAGCAAATTAGAAATGGAAGGATAATATTAAAATGTATCTCTGAAAAACGGCGTGTGATGCGAACTTAATTGAAATATCTCGAGACAGGGTCCTCCAACTGGCATTTGTGATGACAGTAATGAAGATTTCATAATGTCTTGAGTAGCTGAATAGCTGTCATCTGATTAGGAACTACGATGTACTAAGTTATTCATTGGCATAATTATTTGGAGTAACTGTGTTGCACCATTCACCTGTTCGCACAAAGTATTAACGAATAGTTCTATGCATTCTTTTCATAAACGAAAAATAAATGTATAAAATACGTTTTTATTTCTGGTTATATAAATACGTACTTTAATTACGTGTTTTCATCGTGATTTATAGGAGAGTATGATGCCAGATTACGTGTCCTAATTCGTCATGTTGCCAAATTGCTAGATGTAGCACCGGAACTTATTGATTTTTATGAAGAATCAGCTGTGGACTATCTGACAGATGACCAGAAGGAGATTACTGAGTAAATATATTATGTTATTAAACTTATTTGAACAACTGAATTGTCTAGTCATATTTGAAAAGTGTAGTTTTTAAGTAGTTAGTTACTGCGGTAGAGGCTTTATGACTTGAACACAGTTGAGATATCACATGTGAAGAACCAAGAATATAAACCATAAATTAATCCAGGAAGCAGAGAGCACTTTATTGATAATTAAAAGAGCCAATAGTATATGTCACCCTCAGTAAATCATGAAATGGTGTTGGTCATTAAGTTTTTCCTGATATATTCCAGAGATGAGAAGAAAGAGCAGAGTCTTCGCCAGCGCACAAAGAAAATAAAACGATATGCTCTGATAGGCTTGGCAACACTTGGAGGCGGCGCTGTGTTAGGACTGACCGGTGGCTTGGCAGCAGCTCCTTTGATCGGTGCTGGAGTCGGCACATTTCTTGGAGGAGCTAGCGCTGCGGCTCTCAGTTCGACAGCCGGCGCAGCCATAATCGGCTCTCTGTTTGGTGTGGCAGGAGCTGGTCTGACAGGTACTGAAGTGTTATAATTGCACAGTATAGTGTAATAGTGGTTTGTTGAGAGTTAGTTCTTTGGCGTAGTTCTCGAATGACGTTGACTTTTTTAAACAGACTGCTTCTGAATCGGTCTGTGCGAGGCAGAATGTTATAAACGAAATGTTATATGATTTTCACTTGGCAGAATACTTAAAATAAAAATGAAACAATCTTAAGTATGTAGCGGATGTAGTGAAAAATGTCAGAATGTGCTGCTGTAATTATCTCTCCAGTAAGTGCCATGAATGAGGAGTGGGAAATTTTTCAGTCAGACAGCCAGTTGTGACATAATATTAGACACACTGTACCCAGATGCAGAGACCTGCTACTTGAATTTTGCAGGGTTCAAAATGAGGAAGAGGGTTGGTGAAATTGAAGAATTTGCCTTTGGATGCCTGACACCACGAAACCCAGACGATTCTGATGAGACGAATGACCCGGATGAGGGAGCATCATCAATCCACAACACGATCAACAGCGATGCTACTCCCCAAATCATGACACAACAGCTTCATATTACAATCGCCATATCTGGCTGGCTTTCCGATGACCACCGCGACAACTTCACTAGGCCATGGAGGTCCCTGTTTAGTTCACGTGAACAGTATTATCTCCGTTATGAGTCTGCTTATTTGCTTGAGCTGGGGAAGGCCATGGATTTAATCCTCAGTTTCGCTGTTTCCATGGCAGCGCAGGAGGCACTGAAATATACGGTACTGGCAGGTTGGTATGTTGTGTATTGCGTAAACATTTTTAAACTTTTTATTAAGTTTAAATCTCTGTATTCATTTCCTCTATCAATCTTTAACATTAGTTTCAGTGCTAATTAATGAGAATGCATCTGAACACACCCGTGTACAATCAAGTTTCGTGCTATTAATTGTCTTTAATTTCTGTGACGATTGTTACAGGTCTTATAAATGCAATAGCATGGCCATCTTCACTAATCACTCTCGCATCAGTGATTGACAATCCGTGGGGCGTGTGTTGTCGTCGATCGGCCGAGGTCGGGAAACAGCTCGCCGAGGTTCTGCTCTCCCGTGAACAGGGTCAGAGACCGGTCACACTCATAGGCTTCAGTCTGGGTGCACGAGTCATATATTATTGTCTCCGTGTAAGAATATCCAGATCCTAATAATCTATGACATAGGCCTAACTTTTTCCTTTTAAATAAATACATACACACGTACTATCTTTAGTAGTCCCTGAGTGCTTCATGCTTTACCTGACTTCGTTTGCAATTTCTGAACTTTGCGTATTTCCAACCGTAGCATATTGAAAGAGCATTGCGTGTTGCAGTGTTGGATTATGGATTCCAATGTTGCAGGAGATGTCGCAGCGAGACAGATGTGAAGGAATAGTACAGGATGCCATTCTCCTTGGTACACCTGTGACAGGTGCTCCACAGGACTGGCAGAAGCTCATGAGGGTGGTGTCTGGAAAGATTGTTAACGGTTACTGCAGGCACGTGTTTCTTCGCCGCAGGTTTAGAAACGAGGACAAAGTCGTAACATTTGTTTACGTTCTTATTCACTGAGAAGCATAATTATCAGTAAAATGTTTCTAAATGTCTGGTCTAATTTAAGTTCAGTCATGTCATAAACTGTATTTCTGCCACAGGAGTGACTGGTTGTTGAAGTTCTTGTACCGCACGCTGTCCATGTCTAGTAATGTGGCAGGATTGCATCCGGTTGTCGTGCGCGACCGGCGAATGTTCAATGTTGATCTAAGTGATATTGTTTCTGGTGAGTGAACAGTCAAAATCTTATATATTTGTACTTGTCTTTTCTAGTTTGTAATTACCTTTAGATTGTTTTCTTTTTTTGTTATTATGTGTTCTTTGCACAAAGTATTTCTTGTCCCGTTGTTATTCACTTTCAAAAATCAAGTCAGAAAACTAATATTTGATTACTGTTCCCTGACAATTTTAAATGCGTGTATTAATTGCTATTGATTAAAGGCCACGGTGAGTATCCAGAGAAGATCGATGCTATATTGAAAGCTGTTGGAGTCAGAACACGGGATGATATCGAACACCTTGAGGTCGGAAGACTTTTTAAGTCTTCCGACCTTCCAGGGAATGAACAAGCGAAGGTACTGGTATGGTTTTGTATTTTGTTCACTTAGTGGGTAATGCCCTAGTCATTATTATTATGCAATTCTCTCTCTTTACCATCCCAGTACTGTTTAAAAGCTACAAATGGGAAGCATGCTTTAAAAGAACCGTACAGTGACATTTTCATTCTTACGACTTTTTTTTTCAGATTTCACTGCTTTCTTTAAGGCTTTCAAAATCAGACAAGTCTTTGCACCTCAAGCTTCATGAGGAATGTTCAAACGCTGATTCAGCTTCAGTGACTACGGAGACCGCAACAGATGCATCAGCAATGTGTAATGCTGTTGTTACTTCTGGGACTGTTGAAGCAAATCGCAATTTATCTCCTGCTGCAAACATCGACGACAACGAATGCACAATAGACGCAGCAGATGAAGCCGTGGAGTCATCACCACCAAAACAATCCGCAGATGAAAGCGAAGATTAACAGCTATCCTCTACGTCACATGGTTCCAGGTTATGAATACACAGTATTATACGGAGATGTGCAAACAGCAGGGTTCTGTTATCTTTGGTTCACTTCGATTCTTAATACATTGGTACTAAAATTTTAATATTCTAGAGATATTTGTTTGTTATATGTTAAGAAATGCATACTGAAGGATACAGAGAGTTTTAATTAAGAAAGTGTGTCTCGGTCTAAGGTACGTGCATAATTTCAATATGAATATCTGTACCAAGTTGAATGCCGATTTTTTCAATACATTGTAAATAAACAAAACTTCAACAGGCATAATGGATCAGTAAAAGAAATTGTGTAACTTTGATTTCATACGTGTTTTTGACGATCTTAACATACAAACTTGACACAGGTGAGGATCACTCAGGTTTATGTGATCTTTGAATTAATTTCACGCATGAAATGGTTCTTTTCAAACTTATAAAACATGTTTTAGTAATTACAGTAAAACTTTTAGACACATTTATTAAAGTTTAGTCAGCAAATTCGAAAGAGGGTCGTTGTCTGGCTTTGGGCAAAGAATAGAGCAATGTTCTGAATCGCATGATACGCCATTTAGGTACCACTACATTAGTATGTAATGCTTTTTTACTTAACATTCATTTGTCCTAATTAAGAGATAATTTATGCATTCACTGACAATATAGAATACGACCAGTGAGTCTAGTAGCAGCGCATCGGAAACCAAAAACCAGCTAAATAAAAATAAACGGCATAACCTTTCATTATGACGTAACTAAATTCATGATGGAATGTCTTCTTGAGCAGGGATTTTTATTTAACTGATCAAGAAATTCGCTGCCAAGTGACATGAAGGTCCATCACTGTATTATATATCATTTTTCTCTTTGAATCCAGTTTAATATTGCATATCTGCCTCTGTTGTTTGTCACATCTCTTCCCATAAGCATTTATAACAACAATTTGTATGTATTTCTTGTTTTATGTATTTGCTATGTGTCTAGCGCATCGTATCATGTTTTTTAATTACTCCTACAGAATCAGGTAACAGTACAAAGTATGAAGTTTGTTGCAACTTTTTTCCCACACACTGTAGCTTTTAATACACAATACGTATATCTTCAAGAATATTTTTACATTGTTCTTATGGGTTTGGAATTACTACAGTTTGCATATCCGAAGAGAATGGGTTTTGTTACAAATGACTTTGCTGGTATAAATTTGTTATATGAAAAGTAAGGATTTTCTCATCATACAGGGATGTTAACAAAGTGTATGTTGTACTTGAATATTCTTGTCCAAATTCACGGCAGACATCTGTATGAAATTTCATAAACTCATGGCCTATGTCCCAAAACATGATTTTTACAAGGTACTATTGTCTGTTTGATCCTACACGATGTTGCAGATGTGACTATTAGAATAAGAAAGAATGCTGTACAAACGTAAGCCATACTTTTTCCAAAAAAAAAATACATATCATAATTGAGAAGTAGAAGTTTTAAGGTATTAAAGTATAATTTGAAAAATGTATAGGAATCTATACATTTTCAACTACAGAATATCCAGAGTTCCTAGTCCAGTAAAAGTTAACATTAATTTATTTCAAAGAGAATTTGTTGAAGGACAAAGGCAATCTATTGCAGCTTTAAAATTTTTCGATAGGTTGTATAAAATATAGATATTAAATATTTCACATTGTAAAAAAAAAATGTTGATCGTCAGCATGTCAAATTATTTTATTCATAGGCGTATTTGATAATGGAACATTTCAGGAAGAAAAGCATTTCACTCTACACTAATGATAGGTGCTTATGCTGTTTTTGAATGAAGAGTAAATCACATGTATTTTTATAGTATAAAAACATAGATCGCTATTTTGCATAATATATTGTAGTACTTTTGAGATGGCATATATTATTTCTTTAACAAGTGTTGTCAGTGCATTACAGTCGAAACAGAACATATCAGATCATTCCTTCCTATAATGACGAAGAATATAGCCTGTTTACAATTTGTATGATTAGAATAATGAAGTGTGTTTGTGTATTCAATATCTGAAGAAACAAGCATAATTATTTGAGATGATATAATGATTGTTATATGGTTATTTTCTTATGCGTTTTGCTTATCTAGTTATTACGAGGCTCGTCCATAAAGTAAGTTTCCCTGGGGCCGTTTACAGAAACAAAACACAATTTCATGGAAATATTTATTGCAACAGATACAGCAAGTGACCAGCTATTTTTCAACATATTCGCCACCGGAATTGAGACATTTGTCATACCGTGGGACCAACTTTTGAATACCTGTGTCGTAGAAGTCTGCCGCCTGGGATTGAACCCACTGTGTGACAACCATCTCCGCCTCTCTGTCATTCTCAAAACGCTGACGCTGACCGGACAGGAATTTCTTGAGGTGTAGGAAAAGATGGAAATCACTGGGAGCGAGGTCCGGGCTGGAGGGTGAATGATTAAACACCTCCCAGCTAAACTCCTGCAGGAGACTTGCTGTCCGTCGAGCCGGGTGCGGCCTAGCGTTATCACTGACCGCACTTCACAGTCGGCGGGAGCTGGAATAAGAACCTCCATCTTCAACAGCCGCAACGATGCTACTGTGAGAACGCGGGAAGTACCATTAGTGCATGCGCCATGCTACGTCATTGCTCTATCACGTACGCACAGCCGCTTCGCGCAATATAAGGTTTGCTAGCTGTGAGACGAGTGGGAAACTTACTTTGTGGACGCGCCTCGTACGTTCGGTTAGGGCAGACGAAGTGAAACGGATAACATCGTACGAAGGGAATTTGGAGTGGACCTAGTTTTAGTTGGTATGGACATTTATGTTTGACTTCTTACCTCGCACACCATTGGGCAATGTTAAAACTAAATCGTAGTAATGAGTCGTTCTTGAAGAATTAGAGCAGTGTGAGTCCTTCGATTTACTGATTTATAAAACAAAATGAACGATGTTATTTAGCTCAAGAAATACTACGTAAAAGTTTGCAGTGTAATTTATACTTTGTTGTCATTGTATCGATTTTAAATCCACCTTTCGGTGGCGTTGGTGCTTGACTGGGAGATCCCACACAGCGAGTACACACGTTGGAACTCTCATGGGGAAGATACCACCTGAAGGACTGAGATGGGATGATGATATTTCAGATAAGCGAGTTGTGAACCTGACTGAACCACACAACATACGAGGCTCGTCCCCCAAGTAAGTTTCCCTGGGGCCGTTTACCGAAACAAAACACAATTTCATGGAAATATTTATTGCAACAGATACAGCAAGTGTCCAGCTATTTTTCAACATATTCGCCACCGGAATTGAGACATTTGTCATACCGTGGGACCAACTTTTAATACCTGTGTCGTAGAAGTCTGCCGCCTGGGATTGGAACCACTGTGTGACAGCCATCTCCGCCTCTCTGTCATTCTCAAAACGCTGACGCTGACGCTGACCGGACAGGAATTTCTTGAGGTGTAGGAAAAGATGGAAATCACTGGGAGCGAGGTCCGGGCTGTAGGGTGGATGATTAAACACCTCCCAGCTGAACTCCTGCAGGAGACTTGCTGTCTGTCGAGCCGTGTGCGGCCTAGCGTTATCACTGACCGCACTTCACAGTCGGCGGGGGCTGGAATAAGAACCTCCATCTTCAACCGCTGCAACGATGCTACTGTGAGAACGCGGGAAGTGCCGTTAGTGCATGCGCCATGCTACGTCATTGCTCTATCACGTACGCACAGTCGCTTCGCGCAATATAAGGTTTGCTAGCTGTGGGACGAGTGGGAAACTTACTTTTGGGACGCGCCTCATAGATATTTGTGTGTGCGTGTGTTTACACACTAGCTTCTTCCAGTAAGTATTAAGGGACGATAGAATAAAATGAATATATAAAATAGAATTCAGTGAACATAACTTGTGTAACTTGTTTACCATTTATGTTTACTTAGTTGAAAATATTTTTTTTTCTGTTGATCGTGCATTTAAATTATAGTCAACCTGCATACATTTCCATCGTAAATGTATCTTAGGTGCATTTTGGTGTCAGGTAATAGCTTAGACTACATTTGTTGATTATATATGTAACTAGAACACGCTTTCTAGAGACTATTGCATGTACGTCTTGTTGGTGCTATTTTTCACTAGATGATGGAAAAAGTACAGTGAAGTTACTGAATGACTTAAGTAGTTGAGTTGTGCATGTTCTTCCAAGTACAGTAAGTTAAATAATTTATGAGTCGTGAACCTGTTTCAATTAGAAATGAATCGATTAGAATTTAATGTGCTGTTACATATTTTGTTTTGTTTGTTTATTGCATCATAAAAGGCTATAAATTGTAATACTTATTTACCATTTTATTTATGTTGTCTGTGATAGTGAAAGAGTTGTTCGACCAAAACACAATATAGTTTATCTGCGAGGCTTTAAGATGAGGATAAATTTATGCCTGTGCCACATTATGCTGCAAAGTTACAGTGCATCTTTCCGAGTACCATCAAGTGATAGCATACATTTCAGTCGGCATTACCAGTTAATCCTGAGATGTCTAGAATTAAGTGAGTTTGACGATGGCTGTCTTCTGGTTTGTTGCGCCATGTAGTCTGGTACAAGTTTACTGACATTTCAGAGGTGCTTGCTGCCTCAATCATCAGGGTGATATGTTGATGGAGGCAGCAAGCACCCCTGAAAATCAACTTACATAGATCATAAGAGGTGTACTGAAAATGCTGTGCTAAGTGTGATAACAGATTAAATCTGCACATTATTTTAGTTGTGAATACAATGTATTATCAAATTCATGTATCAAATTTCCTTCTAAAAGTAGGGAATAATAAACTCATGTATGATGAAGCAAATTTAGGAGGGAATAAAATAAATCTGGCCTCTTTGACCATTTAAAGCTCAGTGGTAATTGAGTATATTTTCTGCCTGCTTCAATATTTGCCTTCTCTGCATTTTGCCCACGGTGTATTTATAGGTCTTTTATTATTCTCACAATAAATATAAACTATTTCCCTAAGCAGCACAATTGCTGATGCTGTATGACAATATAAAAAAACCAAAGAGTTGGTTAAATTATAAACTTTAATCCTGCTGTTTCTTAACTCATAATTCCTGACCACTCAGTTAGTCTTTAATTTTAAAAAAAGGACCCATTGAATAATACAAAGCAGTTTATTCAACAGCATTAAAATTTATTCATTCATGTTTAAAATATTCTTTTACATATTTTACTCTATTTTCATCTCCTTTCCACGAACCTTATGTTTGATGGAAAGTGAAATAATTACAAAGGAAACATACTTACATATCCTATAAATTACAGTACAGTACTATAACTTTATTATTTATAGTCACATACTAAGTGTGAAATAATATAAAAATATTATAATACTTACAGATAAGAATCGCTGAAAGGTAGATTACTATATACGGCAACAGCTTCTCAGTTTAACGCTATTAAAGTGTTAGCATCATTTTAACTGATTCACAGTGACAAATGAACAACATAACCTGTGCCAAAGTAAAAGTGCAACAGAACAAGCTGACTTGAAAATTTTAAACCAGTCATATCATATTCATATATATATAGAAAATCAGTCCGTCTTGAGACTAGTTTTTAGGCATATTCATAACTAAAGGTTGCAAAGATGCACTTATTAGCTTCACCGTGTCTGTCTGTCTGTCTGCATGTAACAACCCATGAACTGATAAGCAGATTTTCATGTAATTTGATACTGGAATGTTTTATCGACACATTCCAGTTTCACTTAAACTCAGACAAACACTTCCTTCCATATCCTTTCCAATTCATCATTAACTAATCATCCCATCATTAAACACTATACAGTCTGAATGGTTAAGTGTCATTAAATAAACCACAAATAAGTAAACAAACATGAGACCTCTGAAATTTTGTATTTCTATCAGAGAAGGGACACACAGACAGTGTAACTGTATGACACTACCCAACCTAACCTAACCTAACCTTACAGAACAAAAAGTGAGCAAACAATTGTTGAAATGCATTACTCCCTTTCTTTCACCTTAAATTAACAACTTTACTATTATGTGACAAGTGTATGTATTTTGTTCACAATACAAAATACATTTTCTTATGAGTTTTAAGAAGATAGTTTCTTATTTAATGATCATATTAATTTCACACTGACTGTGTGTTCCCACTTTGTATGTTTCTGATGAATCTACGGCTATTTTCAAGTGTATACCTTCGACAGAACTTACAAATTACTGAAAATGTATATATACTTTACAAAAAATATTTGTACCAGTATTGACTTTCCTAGTAAGATGATCATAGATTCTTTATAAGATCTCCGATTTTCATGGCGGTGAAAATGCAGTCTGTGCTCTTCTGGGTCGTGATGCCATGTAGTTTTATGGATACTTTCAACATTTCAGAAGATCATATTATCTGTGTCTTGAGGACAGAAGTGACTTCTACAAGACCATATGGCATTAAAACCCAGAATATTACAATCCATGATGGTAAATTCTGATGCTTATATAACAGAATTAAGAGGAAAGTAGCGCTAGGCATATGCAGGTCAGACATAACAGAGGCAGTAACACTACCTGAAGGCAAGATAAATTCCAGTACCTACAGCACATAACTTCAGTTCTATAAATACTTTTGACTAGTAGAGCACAACCCTTTCGCTTGAGAGAGATCTAGCGGACTTCAATCCATCTGAAGGCCACAAACTCAATACTATTCTTGTGGACCAAATCCATGGCACACCAGTGAACAAAATGGTTCAGTCCTTATCACATTTTTCCCCCCAAAATTATTTATTTTTCAATAACTACAGACTCCCTTGTTGAAATGTAGATGCAGATGCTAGCAGATTCATTGCAGTGAAATCAATGTTCTGAATGTCGTGGTGCTGGGATATAACTTCTGTTACAGGTTCAACACAGTTTCTTGTTTTCAATAGTTCTATTTTACCGTCAGATAAATGCTGTATATCTGAACTATTCTTTGAATTATACAATGTCATTGCATTCTTTGGTAATCTTTGAATTACAACTGTTGTAATACCAGAATTGGCCGGGGGTTGTTCTTCCCTGTTTGACAAGTGTTCCTGTTCAACTTCCGGGTCTGGATTTGCACCTTGTAGTAACAACGTAAATTTACCTGGAATGAACAATGTTAAACAGGAGATAAGTTATATGATACGCTGGAAAAAATGTCTGATGAAACCGAGTGTTTGTCAACTGGCATGTGAACGCTGGTGCGTTGGCATTCGAAGGTGAAAATTAATTAACTGTTGGTAATTGCTGTTTGCTTAATTCCCATACTGAGGGGTAAGACAGGCAGGATGGGAAGGGAGGGATAGGAGCTCCCCTGAAGGCATTGGTGAACAAGAAAAGCTGGGGCAGAGCGCCTAGTACGCCTACAAAATGTTTTGCTTCTAACCTGAGTCTGTCGTGGTCGGACTTATTCCATTTCCGCTGCCTTGTAAGTCAGTGCTGGCATCTGGTTTTGCATTTTCAGAATCAGATTTTGATCTTTCATGTGTCTTAATGTGTTTGTAGCAAGCTGACATCTCCACAAAACCTAGCACAAATAATAAAAAAAATGCAGTTGTATTCAAATTCGGTATACACTGGCGGCATGTGCTTGGAGATGGACTGCTATAGTGATAATTTTCATCAGATTTCATAGGCAAGGTCTGTAATATCTGTAGAATATAAGGACATGATTCTGAGGACTCGCTTTCATGAACTAAATGTAAGACTGTCTCAAGATAGTAAGAAACTTCATATTTAGTTTTCAAGCTGGCACAATATGACGCAATGGCTTGAGTACTGAGTATGCTAAACAGAGTCGAGGGGAGGTTTATGCATTACCATATTAAATGTGAAAATGCTCGCCAATTCCTGCATCCCTCAAGAACGTGTATAACAGAATGAAAATGTTGCCAGAGAACAGATGATTTAATGTTTATATACGTTACCCTTCCTGCAATACTTGCACTGGTAGGGTTTAAGTCCCCAGTGCCTGTTCATGTGTTCATTGAGAGACTGCTGCCGAGTAAAAGTTTTTCCACATTCGTCACACACGAAAGGCCGTTCACCTGTGTGTACCCGTTTATGACGTTCCATGTCACCTATTCATGTACAAAGCACAAAACAAAAGAAATTTCACTCTGACTTGCTAACAGATTCAATAATTTCTCTACATATATATGTCTGTGACTATCTATTTGTGTAGAAATAAGTTTAATGTGGGAACTGGGTAAATGTCGTAACTTTCGATTTTTACCTTTAAAGAAACTAATGAAATTTCACGAGTGAGAATAATAACAAAGAAAATCACACACATCGAAAAAGAATTGTGGGTCATGACATAGGAGACGGCACTTTTTATGTCAGTCTCGCAAACCACAGGACTGAAAATCTCTAAACATCAATGCGACGAAAATGGTTATAGTAATTCCTGCATAATAGTTATACACACTTTTGTGTTATTACATTTAATGCATTACCTTTTGTAAGGAACTTAAATTGACAAAGCGTACACTCGTACTTTCGTAGTCCGGCATGTCGTTGCTCGTGAAGACGAAGTTGAGATTTCTGTCTGAACGATTTCCCACACTGATTACACAAGTGTGCTCGTTGGTTCAGATGCATAGCCATGTGAGATTGGAGAATGCTGGTTTGTGAAAAAGCCTTCAGGCACACGGAACACCTGCACAGTTTCAAGTGCGTGTGTATACATAAACCTTATATATACAGATGGTAAGGAATGTTAAGGAACACACCAGATAGCATTTAATACTTCTTTTAACACATACAAAACCAAGTTGTCTCTTTCGTTGACTTCGCATACTTGTAATTTATTGGTTTAATGATGGTTTAACTAGACTAGTTAAACAGAGTCAAAAGAGAGCACGACTGTGAATGATGAAAGTGTAAACAACATAAAAGTAAACAGTTATGACTTTTTTTAAGGCACTACGTCGGTATTTTTGTGGAAGAACACTGTGACATTTGGTTTCTTAAACATTAGTATCCTCAGACACACTAAAATGAAAGGCATTATGCAACAGTCTTGTTAAAGGAGGTAATAAAGTGATTAAGCAAGAATTAAATCTGCTGCCATTTCATATAGAAATGTAGAGAATGACCCAGCTAAGGCAATCCTACTTACTGGTAAGGTCGCTCTCCTGTGTGCCGTCGCATATGAACTTTAAGAGACTTCTTTTCTGTGAAGCGGGAGCCACACTGAGTACATTGCCAAGGCTTCTCGCCACTATGGGATTTCACATGTCGCTTTAAATTTCCTTTAGTACTGAAACTGGCGTCACAACTCGGACAGGAGTACGGCCTCTCGCCGCTGTGTCGACGGCTGTGAACTGAAAATGATGTGGAATTAAAATGTTGCAGATACGCTGGGTCTATCTGCTAATTTCCTAAAACATGAAGCACCATCCTGATATTGATTCTTAAAATGAATCTATTTTGGATTTAAAGTTCATTTCAATGCACAATACTTTAAATTATTTTAAATGGATGTCTTTCATAACATCATGGGATAGAGTAACTGAATACAAAGTGTAATGTAAGTGATATTAACACTTGCTGTAATTAAAGAGACTATTATCGTCTTTCTAACTGTTAAGAATTGGGTCTATTGTCATATGACATTTCTCATTTGGAATGACCTCAGGAAAAGATGCTCGGACACCTTGTTAGTAGAGTGAGGACCGCAGCACAAAGTAGTGGCTTCCTACAGAAACAGTGCACGTGTGAATGATAACTAACAACAATTAGACTGCTTTTCAATTTACATATTCTAAAATGATGTGTAATACTTACCAATGAGATTTCCCTTGGTAGAGAACCGAGCTTGACAGTCGGTGCAGCTGTAGGGCTTGGTATGGGTCCAGGAGTGAGCTGCACACAGTTCATTTTAAAAGCAATTTAATAGCCATGAACTCAAATATGACAAAATTATTACGAGTTGCATAAAACCTTCGCTCTGGAGGTTTGCCAGATAAATGTCAAAACAGACTTGGTGAAAGACGATGATTTCACGCCTTGGTTTATTATCACTTCATTAAGACGTCCTTTATTTACGTCGAATGTAATGTATTTTGTATTAATTTTTCACTCTCTTCTCTAAAATTTGCCATAATTTTGATTTGTCCGCTTGGTTAAAAGCTCTTTCATAGTCTGTATTCTGAAAATACTGGGTGGTGTAAAAAATTACATCTAAAAATGATACAGATAAATGGTTAAATGGATCTAAATGAAACCCTGATAAGCTATGTAAAACATAACTAAGTTTGTGTACAAAAAGATTTATTTAGTTTGGAGTTTCATTCAAATCCATTCATTCTTACCATTTTTTTGCACCATCTGGTAGATTATCCATGCAGGATAAGCCTAAAGAAAATGGTATATATTATTATATGTTACTTTACTGTATTGACTAGCTACGGGCTGGACGACCGGGGTTCGATCCCCGACGGGGGCAGAGGATTTTTCCTCTAGCCTCTGCGTCCAGACTGGCTCTGGGGCCCACCCAGCCTCCTCTACAATGGGTACCGGGGTTCTTTCCCGGGGGTAAAGCCGGCCGGGGCGTGATGCTGACCACTCACCCCCATCTAGCGCCGAGGTCAAGGAAGAGAGGAGCTATACCTCCACTCACCTCAAACGCCTACATGGCGTATAGTGGGACAAACTTTACTTTACTTTTACTTTACTGTATGTTACATACAAAGTTTTCATATATATTTTTCATAGTAACAGCTCATAAATATATGGTAATAATTATGGCAATGTATGCATCAAGAGTAGATGAAGAAGTTGTGTTCGCTTAATTACAAGTTGTTCAGAGTTGTACTTGACCGTTGTTTCTAAAACATAAAGTAGAAATGAAAGCTTCTAACTTGTTAGTTGTGAGGGAGTGTTGAATGCCCTTTGGCAGTATTCGCATTCATACGAAGCATCATCCGCGTCTGTTTCTCTTTCGTTTTCTCCCTCTTTCTTCTTTCCGCGACGTCCCTTCCGCTGCACAGTGGACTGCAGGGCGGGTTCTTTGGTTGGTGACGATTGTGAATTTGTGGTTATCATTAAGTGCACAGTGTTGCCATCACCAACACTTTCCTCGGTCATCTCAAAGAAAAATAAATTGAATTATAACATGATTGCAAAAGAAAACAAGAGGTTTCAAGGATTTGGGTGTTTGGACTCACAGACAAAAAACTGTGTGAGCAAATTAAAATTTTCAACCAGGATTTTCCAGCTCAAGGCACAGAAGAAAACACAGAATGACTGTCCCTCCTGATTACTATAGCAACTGAATGATGACAGGATGGTGTTCTCAAGAGTGGATGACTTTTACCTTAGTGCTTCTGACTTCACTATTCTACCATCATTTTAATGACTGGTTTTTGAGCTACATTGCCACTGCAACATGCTAATGACTTAACTTCATATTTATAAAATCTGGTTGTACTGCTGTTGCTAACAGTTCACTTTCACTGCAGTAACAGTGTATGAATGGATGGACAATTTATGTGCTTATGTTTTCGGAATATTTTTATATTATAGTGCTGCCACCACTGACCATTATGGTCAAAACAATTTAATAGTCAAACTTATCTGAACTATGTTTCATTACTTTTAAATCTAAAATTCGCAATAAAAAATTAATTGATTACATAATAAAATTGATAATCCAGGAGGTTATTAATTCTTTAATTTTTCCATAATTTAACTTTTATTGTATATCTTTTCTGTGGTTTCTCAATAATGTACCAAACGCGAAACTGTATGCCACGGTATTTATACTGAGACAGAGAGAGACAACAAACATCAGATGTGTACACTGGTATTTATACTGAGACAAAGAGACAACAAACATCAGATGTGTACACTTGAAAACAGAAGCTATTACTGCAACTACTCTTTTCCAAATCAAATTCACATTGCAGTTCATTATTTAAACTGCAGAAGCACCACACACTTAACTTTTCTATGGTTAAACAAGGATCTATGATACAGGAACTCTACACTACACGGATAATCACAATTATAAGAACTTCATTTCCAACAATAACAACATATATTTTATGAAAACATGACTAAATAAACCACATATGCAAAATTTAGTTTTTCATCAGTACGCAAGATACATTTGTGAGTTTCTCAAGATGTGTGTTGAAAATTATATTCAGTTACAGTCTGATTAATCTTTGTGCATGAATTACAATGGCCCTCAGTACTTTACTATTATTCAAGGGACATCAAAATTATAATTAATATACCATACCTCTTCAACTTGCATTTCTGGAGTAGAAGAATTTGCTGCCGAACTTTCAGTTTCGTGCCCCGAGTTAGTTTCCTGATCTGTTCTATTGGCACACTCGTCCACTGTCTCTTCTGCCCCCATATCCACACCCTCCAATGTCACATGCTGTGCATTTATTCCTGCTTCCACTTCTAACCCCACACTGCTTTGTAACATGTCCAAGTTTGTCATGCTATCCGTAACAATCAGGTGTCCATTAACTAAAACATAATTTTGGAACATAAGTTACTACTGTCACAGTAGGCCCGTATAAGGGCCACGATCAGAGGAGGGCGGAGTAAAAGTGCCTGTCACGCCCTTGGTGAGAGCTTGTTTTTATTACTTCAGGGCACAAATTAGACTAGTAATAAGTTACTATTGTTTTCACCGTGCATGTTCAGTGTAAACGTAATAAGATATCCTTTCAGAAACACTTCTCTAAAATTTATATCAAAGCAAAATCTCCCCGGGAACGTGTACAAGGAATTTCGCTGCACCGTCATTCTTATTCTCTCACAAACTGCCCATTTCAATTTCTGTTCATATGAAGTGGTGAGAATTATAACTATTAAAATGGTAATAAAAAGTTCTGGAAGATTGGTGGGGCTTTCTTTTCTTTGTAAGTTTTATTCTGTATTCAGAAATTATAAATTTATATGTAAGTAAGCACCAAATATTATTAGGGTAATCAAAAATTTAAGAAAAATATGTTAATTTTTAACATTTTTATTGTGGAACAGCAAAAAAACATAATTTTACACCTAAGTTTCAAATCTGTATTTACTCCTGCTGCAAAACCATAATTCCCATACTTCTCGGACACAGACTTCACTGATTTTTCACAATTTTAAAGAACGAATACAAATAAAAACATAAAATCTTAACCTAAATCTAAAAAGTCAGAAACAGAATGTAAGTTTTCACATGAACAAACAAGTACAAGCAATCATTTAGTAAAATGGGGCAAAGGACAACTAATATCAATCCATTAAATCAGTCTAGTTTTTGTCCTACCAAATGAATGTGTGGCTATGCGATAACTTTTATTAATAAACACTGTACCTTACTGTCTTTTCTTGTTTGCCTCATAAGAACTAAGACTATCTCTATTAAAAACAAGTACCGTGTCTGAATGTTCTGCCACGTCGTCCGCTTGGCGAAGTAGCCCCATCACTGTCAGATATGTATCTCGTCATGAATGTTGGAGCCATGCCCAAGGATACCAATTGTGAGGCATCTATATAATCTGGAAGCTTAAATGAAAGAAAAACAGGAAAGATGATTACGGCATAAGAACTGAGCAATTTCAGGAATGTTATCAGACCAAGACCCTTCACAGCTTATTCATTGTAACTTGCCAAAGTGAAGTTCATGCTGCGTTATATGTAGATTCATCACAGATTCTACTACAACATGATAAGCTGGATGGATATTATCTACTGCCAGATGTACGTATGATAAATATGACATGCTGAGAGTCACTATAACCCATCTTCATGTGAGTGGTTCTCATTATCTCCAAGTTTTGTAAAATGTGTTACAGTTTCTTGTGGCAGCAAGTAGAATCAAATTCAGGACACTACAGTTATTAATTTAGTATGCTAACCACTTTAACACTAAGTCAATATCCAACATTCCAAGAAGTCAACTGTGGGTGAACACAGTATAAAACTTAAAGACATCACATCCAGCTTAATTATCTGCACGTACATTTTCTAACAGGCTTGGAGAGATTATGATCAGAGTTTGAAAGAGGAAGGAATGGTCAGTGTTTTTTTTTTCTGTTATTCTTTGGGGCTCAGCAAACATTGAACGTCTCTGCTGGTAAATAACTTTGCAGCTGGCACAAAATTCCACACATAAACACACCAGTTCCATAACTCGGAATAATTAGATTTTTTCTATTTGAGCTTTTGCACTTTCCTGTTACTCTACTCTGTCACCGACAAAGATAATCGGAGTACATATATCACACTACACAGCAGTAAACTATTTTCTCAACTACAGATGAGGTTGTTATACAACAGTTTTTATATGGAGTGCCTCCCATTATCAGTTCTGCATTGTCGTATCCTGTCGTGTTGCTATGGTGACTCTTGAATCAGACACGTTTTACACGCACCAGTTTCCACCATTTCTCAAGTGTATATCTGTTGCCAAATTACATGTTTCGACGAGAAGTAGTCCAGTTTATGTGTAGCGTGTAAGCTACTGTACTTATGCAAACAGGTATTTAATTCACTGCTTTTGTTTCAAATGCATTTTTATTATATAAAGCATATTGAAATATGCTGTAATCTTTAAAATCACGAAAATGATGGGGTTTTGTGTGGTGCAAATCTGTTTATCAGTTATCACTCCTTTCCATTGTAATTACATGTGCAATTCAGCAGATAGTATTCATAGTCGGATCACTCATTTGGAGAAAGTCGTACAGAAAATCCATTTAAAGTTTTATTTATAAATTTCCAAAATCTCGAGTTCCCACATTGGCATGACATTTTTTCGTCAAACTGTGTACTTCCATTGGTGTATAAACAAAATGAGTCCCTTCTTTCACCAACTGGCAGCTGAAGAAATAAAATATGTGTACTACCAGCAAGACAGTGTTATGGCACTATATATGAAGTGTTTGTCAAAAGAGTAGTAACTAGGACTGTAGCCCCCTTGATCTCATGATTTTGGTTGCTATGACTTTCAGCTCTGGAGAAACCTGATTTGTAAATTTTGTATTAATAATACTCATACCACTGAAGCTCTCCTTAATGAAGTAACATGTAACTACTTAAATTACTGAGGATCAATTTCAGAACATGTCCCAAAGCTTGTTTAGGCAACATGGGGCATGCCCGACACCAGAAAGGTGTGTGTGTGTGGGCACTAACAGCAATTCTTATGAAATATGGTAAGTTGCATGCCTTTTTCAAAGTACTAAGTTATGAGGTTCTGTATAGTCTGTTGAACTAGTATGGAAATAAATGCACTTCCGTGTGTAGGACCATGTCACTGGAATGCACTGTATACAGATGGGATACTGGCATGCATCATTTATCATAAGCTACTATACTTTTTCTCCTTCCATCTGAAAAGTGAGAGCACTGATATCTTCCACAGAGTGGTTGACGATATCTTGTAACCTTTCTGATACAATGTTCCAGTACTGGACAGCTTTAAGCTTCTCCTCAGCATCCATAGCATGGACCATTGCAATTGCATCTTCAATCTGAAATCAATATTTTGAAAGACACTTGTAATATATCTCAAGGCCCTTTGGAAGAGGTTAAATTTTAATTTTTGTGAAAGTTGACTGTACTTTGTTTACCCAATCAGCTGTTGGTCACCTGGAATAACTGATCAATTACTCTGTATCATGAATACTGTCCTCAGGTTATCCTAATAATCTTACCTTTTCTTTGAATGACTCTAATATGCTTCTTACTTCCATTATTTTAAGTTGGATGCATGAGCAGGAAACATGACACATTAAAATAGAAAATAAAGCGCTTTATATACCAGAACCAAAAACAAAATGGCTGGACTAGACACTCCATCAAAAGTTCCAGACTAAACAAATGCTTAATTATCTAATACTGTTCTCCGATTCGCTCATACTTATTAAATGATCATCCATTGGTCATGCCTGAAGACGTGGATTGCGTAACTTCTAGAATGTATTCAAATATTCGTTGATATCAAAATACGGCCATCTACCACAAATGATTCTGTACTATTTGCGACAGAATACCGACGTGTTTGTGGTGGCATACTCGGCAGGTTATCTTCCTGTGTTATCCACAGGTACGGACACAAATATTACCAACATGCAGAGCGGTAAGTTAATGTTGGCTACCATGTTGCGGTAGCAACTGGAATTAAGTAGGATTTAATGTTCTCACGGGGGTGTTAAGACGGCTGTTGTTTGTTGTTTTTTCCTTGTAGAAGTTTACCAGCGTTTGGGAAGTCCTTGCAGCGTCCATCATTAGGGCAAATGGTATTAAACCATGGTAGCAGCCACTGTGAACTGCCAATTTGGTAACAACGTAGACTGGCATCGCTCCTCCAGCGCGACCGTAGGAATGGAAAGCACTCAGCCATTGTTAGTAGCCAATATAGCCTGTACAGAAAGGTTCGTGGTTGGTCAAGGGTTGTTTGTGAGATCCTATCTACCATTGTTGTGAAACCAGAGTAACGGTTCAATTTGTGTACTATGAGTGTGTTGCCTGCAGTAGAAAATGCCGGCAAGACCAAACATTCGTAAGTATTTTTAATACATTTTAGTTTGCTTTCTCAACTATTCTTTCTGTTCATTACAATATTTTCAGTTAAACAGACTGATGTTAACTGGATTTAGTGAGGAGAATATCACCAAATATTATTAAGATAGTGAAATACAGAAAGCTCAGATTGGCTAGACAATGAATGCGTACAGAATTGCGCTAATTTAGCATAAAAGTGTTAAGTTCATTACACACATTAAGTTATTACATAACGCACGAAAGACTCTGAATTCATCTTGGGTAATTTACAGCACATAAAATAAGTTAAGATGTTAGGGAGACTGGGTGCTCTAAGAGAAGTTTACATATCCATATAGAACTCGTTTTACTGATTTTGAAATACATTTACTTGTATAATACATCTACAATTTTAAGTTTTAAACAGTGTAATCTGTAATGCATTGTGGCACTACTTTAGGGCATGTGGCTTTTCCAAAGAAGAATGTACCAGATGCCAAGGGCAAAAAGAATACAAATGACATACACATCAGACTGAAAGTCCATGACCGCCAGGAAGAACAGGCAAGTAAAGCTAAAAGTAGCTGCTGCCCAGACACACGAAAGAAGGGGCCTGCATCTTGGGTGATGTTTCGTGTTTTCTTATTCCACTAGGCAGAGTCCTCCTTTAAAAAATTATAGACACCCAGCTGATCAAAAATCCAAGGTTTCATTACCATGTTCACAAGAGCATGATTCCATTCAACATCCTCATGTCTTGTTTATGAAGAGCTATTTCAATATTATCGTCTCATTTATGCTTAAATCGTATCTTTATGTTTTCCTGATGCATGCCACAAAGGGGAATATATCAGGGCTGCTGTGTCTGTCTGTTTGTATGTTTCAACTTGAGAACTGCTGGGTGGGTTTTTATGAAATTTATTCCACAGTGGGCTACCCCTTTGTCCTTTTCAATTTACTGCAGCTGTTAATAATAACATGGTGAGACGGAAGTGTCAGTAACATCTTCTGTTAAAGTCGCATGGTGACTGCTCACGGCTGCTGAGATTGTCCAACACACGAGCTCATTCAGTCCTGTACATGGTCGGCCAGAACCAGATCCCAGAAGACGTAACTCATTAACTGCGTTACATTGAAAACGGTGCGCAAGGGCAGTGATAGCAGCCAGATATAACTAGCACTTGGAATTTCATTCTGTTGGATTCTTCACTTACACTTATATGCACAGTACACATTATTTATCCAAAGTAATAATTTAGGGTTCAATCCCCGACTGGGGCAGAGGTTTTTTTTCTCACTCTCTCTAGCTTCTGCATCCAGACCGGCTCTGGGGCCCATCCAGTCTCGTAACCAGTGGGTATCAGAGTCCTTTACCAGCGGTAAACTGTGTTAAAGGAGAACTTACCTGAAATGAAGAAAAATGTCCTGGTCTATTTGAATATCTGTTTGATAGTTTTCTGATATGTTATAGTCTTATTTCTTTCAGGTAAACATTAAAGGCAGTAAAATTCACAGTGAAATCAAGACAGAAGGTACCAAAGCCGGTCCACGTGCTGGCAAAATTCATGAATCACCATACGCGCAAAAGAACATGAAAAGATTAAGACTTCCTGAGCGAAAGAAGCCAGCTTCAAGAGCAGGCGTAACAAGCAGCTCTAGAGCTCAGTTTCGTGCAGGAAAGAACGCCAGTTCACAGAGAAATCCAGTACGTGGGAAACTGGTAAGAATCTCCAAGTCAGTTCTTATTTTCCACATTATGCATACTTTTATACGTAATGCATGAAGTGAGTCGGAACTCCACGTGCATTTTTAATTTCTGTAAATATTGAAACTTGATATTTATGGTGAAAGGAGTGGGGAGGATACACTTAAAGTTGTTGGATGAAACTATTATGCGCCGTATTGGTCTAATTAACGCCTATTTTACACTATTCTTAAGTCAGACTTTTCTATTTCCCACAAAATTGCTTGTCATACACAAAATTATTGCGTGATATGAAGTGTGTACATCTCAGTCTCATTAAAATCAACATTTGTTTCCAAAATTTCTTTTATAAACAATTGGTCGTTGCAAGATAACATCTGTAGGATGTTTATATTTTTCGAGCAATGCGTTTGTATCTGCAGTCTCGGGTATAGAACATTAAAGAATAGTAATACATGTTCTAATTTCAGGGCTTGAGGGAAACGTACTCAGACGTTCGTGAAAGAGCACTGAAGTCAACAGGGGTGAATTTGGGATCAGAGGAAGAAACCGAACTGACCAATTTCAGCATGATGACATCTTTCATAACAAACTTGCAACCAGACATCAGACATCTAGGTAAAGGAGTGGGTGAAGCCAACTTGAATGCCAGAGTTATCACAGTTGTGGGAAAGCCTAGAAATAATAAAAAATATTCATATAAATGTACTTTTATGCATCACAGTTTTCAGAGAGCTATATATACATTATGCTTAAATAAACCCCCCATATTCTGCAAGCTTCTTTTCTGCCGTCCTCAGGAATTATTTAAAGAGTTGACAAATCATAACTGAGTCATCATATCAGTCAGGTGATCAGGGATTGAATCATCTGAGTAAGTATCACCAGTTTCAAGCAATCAAAAGCATGACGGGAGGTCCGTTGTTTGTTTCTTTATGTCTCTATATTTTTCTTTCTTTCATCATTCATTCTCGTTTCTCTTTGCATTTTTCTTTTATTCTTCCTTCATCAAATTTCCCAAAGTCTCTCCAGGCTAATACTGTGATAAAAATAATAATAATAATAATCCGTGGCGTAACAGCTCCAGAGAGCCAAAGCCGACTAGCTTGGCTGCTGGCCTCACGTTCACATGCCTAGGCCGAGGTGAACGATCATCCAACCAGATATAGGGTGACGTGTGGTCAGCATGACACCCCAGCCCCCCCCCCCTTTAGGGCATGTGGCTTTTCCAAAGAAGAATGTACCAGATGCCAAGGGCAAAAAGAATACAAATGACATACACATCAGACTGAAAGTCCATGACCGCCAGGAAGAACAGGCAAGTAAAGCTAAAAGTAGCTGCTGCCCAGACACACGAAAGAAGGGGCCTGCATCTTGGGTGATGTTTCGTGTTTTCTTATTCCACTAGGCAGAGTCCTCCTTTAAAAAATTATAGACACCCAGCTGATCAAAAATCCAAGGTTTCATTACCATGTTCACAAGAGCATGATTCCATTCAACATCCTCATGTCTTGTTTATGAAGAGCTATTTCAATATTATCGTCTCATTTATGCTTAAATCGTATCTTTATGTTTTCCTGATGCATGCCACAAAGGGGAATATATCAGGGCTGCTGTGTCTGTCTGTTTGTATGTTTCAACTTGAGAACTGCTGGGTGGGTTTTTATGAAATTTATTCCACAGTGGGCTACCCCTTTGTCCTTTTCAATTTACTGCAGCTGTTAATAATAACATGGTGAGACGGAAGTGTCAGTAACATCTTCTGTTAAAGTCGCATGGTGACTGCTCACGGCTGCTGAGATTGTCCAACACACGAGCTCATTCAGTCCTGTACATGGTCGGCCAGAACCAGATCCCAGAAGACATAACTCATTAACTGCGTTACATTGAAAACGGTGCGCAAGGGCAGTGATAGCAGCCAGATATAACTAGCACTTGGAATTTCATTCTGTTGGATTCTTCACTTACACTTATATGCACAGTACACATTATTTATCCAAAGTAATAATTTAGGGTTCAATCGCCGACTGGGGCAGAGGTTTTTTTTCTCACTCTCTCTAGCTTCTGCATCCAGACCGGCTCTGGGGCCCACCCAGTCTCGTAACCAGTGGGTATCAGGGTCCTTTACCAGCGGTAAACTGTGTTAATCTCGTAACCAGTGGGTATCAGAGTCCTTTACCAGCGGTAAACTGTGTTAAAGGAGAACTTACCTGAAATGAAGAAAAATGTCCTGGTCTATTTGAATATCTGTTTGATAGTTTTCTGATATGTTATAGTCTTATTTCTTTCAGGTAAACATTAAAGGCAGTAAAATTCACAGTGAAATCAAGACAGAAGGTACCAAAGCCGGTCCACGTGCTGGCAAAATTCATGAATCACCATACGCGCAAAAGAACATGAAAAGATTAAGACTTCCTGAGCGAAAGAAGCCAGCTTCAAGAGCAGGCGTAACAAGCAGCTCTAGAGCTCAGTTTCGTGCAGGAAAGAACGCCAGTTCACAGAGAAATCCAGTACGTGGGAAACTGGTAAGAATCTCCAAGTCAGTTCTTATTTTCCACATTATGCATACTTTTATACGTAATGCATGAAGTGAGTCGGAACTCCACGTGCATTTTTAATTTCTGTAAATATTGAAACTTGATATTTATGGTGAAAGGAGTGGGGAGGATACACTTAAAGTTGTTGGATGAAACTATTATGCGCCGTATTGGTCTAATTAACGCCTATTTTACACTATTCTTAAGTCAGACTTTTCTATTTCCCACAAAATTGCTTGTCATACACAAAATTATTGCGTGATATGAAGTGTGTACATCTCAGTCTCATTAAAATCAACATTTGTTTCCAAAATTTCTTTTATAAACAATTGGTCGTTGCAAGATAACATCTGTAGGATGTTTATATTTTTCGAGCAATGCGTTTGTATCTGCAGTCTCGGGTATAGAACATTAAAGAATAGTAATACATGTTCTAATTTCAGGGCTTGAGGGAAACGTACTCAGACGTTCGTGAAAGAGCACTGAAGTCAACAGGGGTGAATTTGGGATCAGAGGAAGAAACCGAACTGACCAATTTCAGCATGATGACATCTTTCATAACAAACTTGCAACCAGACATCAGACATCTAGGTAAAGGAGTGGGTGAAGCCAACTTGAATGCCAGAGTTATCACAGTTGTGGGAAAGCCTAGAAATAATAAAAAATATTCATATAAATGTACTTTTATGCATCACAGTTTTCAGAGAGCTATATATACATTATGCTTAAATAAACCCCCCATATTCTGCAAGCTTCTTTTCTGCCGTCCTCAGGAATTATTTAAAGAGTTGACAAATCATAACTGAGTCATCATATCAGTCAGGTGATCAGGGATTGAATCATCTGAGTAAGTATCACCAGTTTCAAGCAATCAAAAGCATGACGGGAGGTCCGTTGTTTGTTTCTTTATGTCTCTATATTTTTCTTTCTTTCATCATTCATTCTCGTTTCTCTTTGCATTTTTCTTTTATTCTTCCTTCATCAAATTTCCCAAAGTCTCTCCAGGCTAATACTGTGATAAAAATAATAATAATAATAATCCGTGGCGTAACAGCTCCAGAGAGCCAAAGCCGACTAGCTTGGCTGCTGGCCTCACGTTCACATGCCTAGGCCGAGGTGAACGATCATCCAACCAGATATAGGGTGACGTGTGGTCAGCATGACACCCCAGCCCCCCCCCC